AAAGAAAAGAGTTTTTCATGTGATTTAAGAGGTGCAGAAAACTGATTAGTGCTTCATTATATTTAACAACAGTTTGAGTGTGTGTGTTTTATTTTTCTTTCGGTTATGCTGTATTAACTACGCAAAAAGTGTAACAAATTCTATCCAGAGAGGAGCTGTGCAAAGTACACAAATTGAATTGCCTTTCACTTTTCGCTTAATAAACAGCAAAGTTTTATTTGTTGCCGCTGAGCAAAGTCTTCGTGCAGCCAATTTACTCTAGAGTCTAGACTTTAGACAATTGTTTACTATCTTTTTTTTCAAGGCGGAACTTTTCTTTCTTTTTTTTTTTGGTTGTCGCCATAGCCCAAGTGGAACATGAGAGTTATTGACTAACTGAAACATATGCACCTGCAACGTATAAATCTAGACTCGGGCAATTTGATATCCTTTCAAAAAGAGCTTGTAGAAATCGGTTATTGTTTTTTTTTTATGGCAACAAGTTGCTTGTTAAGTGGCAGTCAGGATTGTAAAGACATTTACTCTACACATACAATTTATTACGTCGCAGGTTAACAGCTGATTTTATTGCGTGAATTTTTAAACGTTTCTCTAGCCTTACTTTCTATTAACATTGAAAATTGACGATAAATTTGAACATTTATTGAGGTTTTTAAAAACTGCTCAGATTACAATAAAAATGAGTTTTAGAGTCAATAATCCCTGTAAATCTGTATTTGTTTACCAACTTTTATTGATGCAGAGTCAAGTGTTTAATTTACTTCATTTACTGCCAACAACCCCATTGCTTCCATTTCATCAATATACTGCAGAGTTAAGGAACATTTGAAGTGCCCACCTACGCATCTCAATGTATCTATAAATCACTCAATGGAACATAAAAAATCCTCCAGCGAGCAATTGTTTAATTAAAGTTTCATTAAAACGATAAAAACGCCCATTTTAATTGAAACTGTTCAATGAATTTAATTTAAAAAAAAAACGTTGTAGCTTGACTTGGTCTTCATTCTAATTGGATGTTATTAACAAATTGTGCTTTGCTTGGTAAAGAGAGACATATGGTTAAAAAATAACAATACTTTCGGATTGCTTAATTTGTGCTAGAATGTCAATATTAACTTATCTTTCGTAAAGTTTAATGCAACAGTGCACAATATTAAAATGCTTAATATTGTCAATATTATAAAATATGATTTCTGAAGTATTTTAATACACATGCAAGAAAATCAAAGAACTTGACCTTTAACTGTTGTTGTATGTCAATTAGCAGACTATTTAATGCTCCAACTGGATCATATGTCAGTTTTTATTACTTCACAAAATAAACACGTGTAATAAATTTGTATAGAAAAGCGACAAGCCCTCAGTTGATTTAAGCCAACTTCTTCTTCTCGAGTACTTTCGAAAAAAAAGGAATCGCTGATAAATGTTGTTGAACTAAGCGGATTCGGTCACCTTTGCTGAGCCGGTTTGCCGGTTTGCCTCTTTTTTTTTCATTTTTTTTTTTGTTTTGTTTTATGTCTTAGTTTATATTTTAGTTTGCACGGTCGGCTAATTATTCCGTTTAATCTGTGGCTCTTAAGTGGTTGGTAAGTCAATGGGCCGCTCGGTCAATTGCCGGGTGAAATGCAGTGAAAACTGTAAACCTTTTTGTTTTTTTTCCCCCCTATGTACTCTATGGACACACGTGGAAAATGTTTACCCAAAAAGTGACTAAATCAAAAGCAGCCGGCTAAACAACAAAAAGAAATGTTTTGTGCCCGAAGCTATAATTAAAATAGACAGTCCAAAAAAGAAAAGTTGTCTGGGTTGTCTGTCGGAGGAGAGGCGTTTAAAAGCCTTAACTTTTTTTCTTTTTGTTTTACCATGCACCCATTCAGTGTGTATTAATAAATAGTTTTGTATTGAAGCTGTGCAAATAGTGCATTATGTAAGGAAGGGAATGGGCCCGTATATATTCCACGAAACTATTGATATATTTATATTGCATTATGTAAAGAGAAAAACTCGTATATATTCCATGAGAAATATTAATGTTTTTATTGTTGTTTCCTTAGGTGACCAAAAAATAACAAAGAAATAAAGTTTAATTAATCAACATATAGTTAGATTTCCCATAGGCAGGCATACGATTTAATAATTTATTATCTTTGATTGAATCGTTACTAGTTATAGTTTTGTGAAAGCTGCCAGTTTATGATTGATTTGTTGTTAAATGAAACTGTGGTATTTTCATCAATATTTAACTGACCTATTTGACTTGGTCAGAATGTTTAAACAACAGCCTAGTTTCTGTTTGTTAAAATGATTAGTTTTGTTGTTATCCATTTGTTATTTATGAGTTTCTCCTTTTATTGATTTTTAATGGTTCTTAGTGCTTTTACAAATTTAATACTGACAAATAAAAATCAATTCTGAAAAAGATACATTTGTATATTCTAGATAACTGTAATTATTGTTTTTTGTTATTAAATTAAATATATATAACAATAATATACTCAAGTGTAAGTGGACTAGCTACAAAGGCCTACGACTCAGCTTTAGTTTCCGGGAAATAGCCACTTTTTCAGATATAAGTCGCGACAAACTAATAAAAATTACCTAAACGTTTGTGTTGTTTATCTATCTATCATAATAAACACCTATTTGAAATAGATGTCTCATTTACTAATATTCTTGGAATTTCCACAGCATTGGCTGCTACAGCTTTAGAGCATATTTCATGTTGTTTTAATGGCATGTAATAGGAATTGCCATTATTGACTGTCAGATGTTCAATCTTGAAAATGATCGCCCACAGTGTCCAGGCAAGGCATGGGCGTTCACATTCCGGTTGTATACACTTAGACAGACTCCCCACTTGGTTAACGTCTGCTTGATGCAACTGCTGCAAAAATCAAAAAAGCAACAACAACAAAAAAGCACAAAAACAACAGGGGGGGGGGGGGGGGGGTAGATACAGACGATTTTGAATAGATAAGGCACACAGACATAAGTACTTGACCCGAAGAAACGATGCTCGACAATTAGGCAAGCCATTCGGTGGAAACGCAGCGACGAGCAGATGCCAATGGTCGACTGTGGACTGTGTGGACCACATTAACTATTTTTAACCCAGTCCAGTGGGTTGGTTGGCCGTCCGCCGCACCACAATGTGGGCAAGTGAATTGCTCTAGAGACGAAATAGCTTACACTTGCCTGTGGGGTGCCGAATGTTGGAAGTTGGATGTTGAACGTTGAATGTTGAATGTTGGCCGGTGTCAAATGACACTCATACTTTGACAGTGTGCCAGCATGTAAAGAACTGCCAACTTCAAACTAAAAATAAAAGCAAACAAAAAATAGATAAAAAAAAAAGAGGCACCATACAACATGGACCAACACTACTTGCTTCCTGTGTTGCACGGAAATGTGTGCCAAATGTTTTTACAAAGAATGACAGAGCGAGAGCGAGCCAGAGAGAGAGAGAGAGAGAGAGAGATAGATAGACGGAGTCTGGGAGAGATAGCGATAGAGAGGAGAGCTTACAAAGAATGGTGGGTACATAAATGCATTTTGATTTGAATGCAGGCAATTCAGAGTTGAATTTTAAATTAATTTGCCAGCAGCATATCAAGTTTCTCCAGATGCTGATGATGATGAAAGTGATTTACTATGTCGACGCCACAACCGAATACAGCATGCAACCTGCTGCACAATGTTTTCTGGTTCGTTTGTTTGTTAGTCTTCAGTTTGGATTTGTTTTTTTTTTTCGTTTTTTTTTCGCATTTTCATTTTTGTTGTTTTTGGAATTTTTGCTAGTAGTGTTAGCTTCTAATGGACTTCGCTCTAACGGTACCCATAGAAAAGCCACACTAAGAAATATAAGATGCACTAGACCTGAACTACTTTGTACATTGGTAGAGCATGAAAGACCAATTATCTTTGCCGTGACGAACATTAAATACTCTTGCACATGATACACTGATGCCATCTGCACATTCTACGGTATCATCAATTAAAAACAACTAAATAAACACAATACGATTCACTTTTTTGTCGGCTTAAAATATATAAGCTTTGTAATCTGTTCGAATTAATAATCCTGGCCGGGTCTGGTCTGGCCTCATCCGTTACAGTCAAAATTGACGGCTGCCTTTCGCCAAATCAATATGTCTGATTTGGGGAGATTGTTTAAGATTGCCACAAAAGCAAAAGAAAGCACTCAGTGGAGGAAAACAAAAAAGGCTTTGTTGTGCCTCTTGAGTATTCATGTGAAGCAAAGTTTTTAGTTTTAAAAAATCGTATACTTTTTTTTATATAGAAACTTCATTTGTTGCCAAAATGTGAAGAGCGTAAGAGCTCTGTGATGGAAATCAATTCACAATAGAAAGAACTCATTCGACTGTAACTCAAATTCGAGTCTATTATAATTAATAGGTATCATTTTGAATGGAAAACATTCAATTAAATTCAACTCTAATATTAATGATTATTTACTCAACTTGTAAGAGCTGTGTAAAATTCACAAAATTTTGCAACTCTGGTGAAGTTCTTTTTGCATGCATTTTGTTGTTTGCAGCACCAAATTTACATTACATCTGAGTTGAATTTCAAAGATGAGCAAGTGAGCGGCACAGAGAGAGAGAGAGAGAAAGAGCGTGTAATGCCGTTTAAACTTCAATCAGCTGTGGTTTGTTTTTTGTTTTGATACGGCTGCCAGCCCCAACATAATGCTACGTACGCCACTCTCTCAGTCAGTATACAGCATGAGTACGAGTACGAGTACGAGTGCGAGTATATTGCATATAAATACATACACTTACAAAACGAAGTGTGCGCTGCTCTCCCTTTCTCTCTCTCTCTCTTTGTCTCTCTCTCTTTGCAGTTACATGAATTCGCTCTGAGAGAGTTGGTGCTTTTGTTTTTGGATCGATAAGACTTCTCGGCGACGTTCGTCGTGTAACTGCCAGGTCTGGTGGTAATAAATGCTTTTCACTTTTCCCAATGCACTCCAGTCGTCAGCTTCATACTGAAGCGCTCACAACGTCAGCTAACGCTTCAGCACACTTTGAAAAACGTTCATGAATGGGAAAATTGAAAAGCACATAGCTTTCATTCTTTGCGGTTAATAATTCAAGCAAAGTATCTAAAAATCAAAACGAACGCATATCATTTCAAAATAATTGTATACGATATAAAAACGTGTTACTTGTGACAAAGAGAATTTTTTGAAATTAAACCAAAAATAAAGGTGTGAATAAGGTCGGTTACTTTGTGAGTGTCCTTAAAAAGTATATACAAACAAACGAACAAACAAAAACACACTCACACACACAACATTTAGGAAAGTTTGCAAATTCCGTTTAAAATGTGAGCAGAAACAAGTGTAATTTTCTACAGTCATAAAATTAGGACTCTCTGCCTACCACACACACAAACGTTTATTGATTTTTCTTTTATTATGCGCACAGCATCCAATGCAGGCAACGTCGTTGCTGCTACACCATGCAGCATGCAGCAAGCAGCATGACTCATCATTGCTTTGCAGCTTGATACACGTTTGTTATGTATATATATACATATAAATATATATTTTTGCTGACGTTTTGTTTTATGTTTCTCAACGATTGAATTTGCAAATTTTCCTAGTGTTAATTGCAGAAGATTTAATTTGTTTGTGTTTTTAGGTTTTTTGCAATAAAAATAAAATCACCAGACAATAAAACATTTAAAACGATAAATATACACATAACAAAGAAATACATTAAGGATGGCTACTTATGCTGCATTTAAACATGTCGAACTTTACAATGTCGGCAAAGCCAAAAAGAGGTAAGTTTCAAGTTGAATGAAATGCATTTGCCCCAAACTCAATGGCGGTTCCTATATGCACTTGCATATATTCGTATATATGATGTGTCTGTGTATGTGTGGCTATTTGCATTATTGTTGTTGTATTGTAATTTATCGTACATTCACCCTTTGCTTTCACCAAATGTGTGTACATTGTTTCAGTGTATTGGTCACTCATATAACACACATGCACACACACATGTAATCTGCCAAGAACCTCTTTATTAAGCACCTACTACAACTACAACTAGAGCTGCTACTTCTACTTCTACTACTACTGCCTCTAAGCCTAAGCAGTTCATTGATTTTTCGGTTCACTTGTCCCAATCCCCAATCCCTGATTTTGTTTTTGTTTTGCATGTTGCGACTGTTCCGGCGGCAGCGGAGTCGCCTATTTTGAGCACGTCGACTTGTGCTGCTTTTTTAGCCCACAGCAACACTAATAATATTTATAATTATAAGAAAGAGCAGAGCATATAAATGCTCTATGCCCTCATAGTCAATAAGGCCATTTCATTTTTGTCTTTCCGCTCGTATTTTGTTGGGAATTGAATTTGTGAAAATCATGAAAAAATAATTTAAAAAAAAAAAGATCATTTCTCTATAGCGATTTCAACGCTACTCCAAAAATTCTTATTAGAAACAAAATAAGATACAAGTTTGACTTTAAATGCACGGTGAAAATCACGATAAAATTATCTGGGCAATTTGAACTTCTGCGAAATAGAAAATAGATATAAGATTATGCGAGTTTCCGAAAATAAAGAAATGACTTCTATGGAAGAACGTTTTAACGTTCTTCAAAATTCGGTATTCGAAAGTAAAAATACAGTTAAACAGTTATTTGAAAATAACAATAAAAAAATAATAATATTAAATTGAGCAAATTCGATTCAATTGACAGCTTTAAAAAGAAATCGTTCTTAATTGTTTAATTTGGGGTGTGGACACAATTAATGTGCGTATGACAACAGCACTGAAAGAAACGAAAACAAAGAAAATACCAAATTTGGTAACATGGGTGCAGGTTATGAAGCAAAATTGCTTTACTTCCGTCTAAGGTCGTCGTTAAGAACGTGAAACAAACATTGAAAATTTTTTTCTGTTTTCAGTTTTCTGCTTTTCACGTCCGACTTTGACTTAGCCTTAGCTTCTGGCAGAGAGTACACAATTTTCTAAATTTAATTAACAGTCAGTCATCTGCATTAAGTCATCAAGATTAACAAAGTTAGCTTTTGTTGAAGAAAATGAGTTTTATCACGTTTGGACACTTGCATGAATCGCATTTGGTATTTCATATGCACTTATGAAGTGAAGGCGGGGTGGGAGGGTGGAGGGCTTAATGAAATATTTTGTAAGCTTTCCTTTTCGGCCTGATTCATGGTTGGTACTTAATTAAATTTTAAAGGCGTGACTTTTCCTCGAAAGTATTATTAACTATATATATACATAACTGTATTTCTTTGTGTAGCTGAGCTGAGCGGCGGAAATCGTTGCAATGAGATTTTTTTTATGGCATTGTTTATTTGTTGTAATTACCATGCGATTGTCTCCCAAATAGACAATGAACATTATTTCTAATAAACATTACATTTGTTTAAATATATATATATGCAGCACTAACGCATTCCATTCTCCAATTGCAGTGATCTCTTTTTTCTTGAGCTCTTCTTGCGCATAATTAAATGTGTATTTAATTTTTTATGTGTGCAACGCAATATTTGTTTCTAGGGCAAATTATTTTGGCTTATTCTTTCTTTTTGTACTTTGCCATATATATATACATATATATTAATATATATAGTTACTATGTCAACAGTATTGATATGCTTATTTAGGGCAAACAGGAAAAGTATTACCAAATAAAGCAGCCATTACACTTTTCAAATCTGTGCGAACGTCATTTTTCGAATTCCATTTATATACTGCTTACGGTATACTGTTGCGTCAGTATATAGATATTTATATATGTATATAATATATATATATATATATATACGAGTATATACAAAGTTCACCACTATTTACTTGGAGCATTAGTAACTCGTACTTTGTTGCGCATTCCCGAAGTATTTTCGTACCTTCTTGTGCTTGTCGGCAACAATTTGCTTACCCGAAGCATTAAATGCTTAATGCTTTGATGTTTGGTCGATTTCTGTTACAATTCCAATAACAATATTTCATTTGAAACATTGTATTTGCTAATGTTACTACTATTCATCTTAACTGCTTTTTTTACATGTGTTTGGCAATCAAAGTTTGACACAGTTTTTGCAACATTTGTAACAGCTGTGTAACTTTTTACACTGTTAAAAAGATTAATATTTATTTAGTTGTATCTTTAATTTGAAATGTTTGCTTATTATTATGTGTAGTTAAAATAAAAATTGCGGGAATTCGAATTCAATAACCTGGAAAAAAATGTAAAGTTGTCTCGATAAATGTTTACCAAAACGTAATACAATTTTCCAATTTCTGGGTTTTGACAAATAAATTTAATAAAAATATTTTGTTTCGATTTTTTTTTTAATGAAAATGTTTTTTCATTTGTTTTCTGTAAGCACCAAAAATTACTTATAAGTTCAGTTTGAACTCACTCTTAAGCCAATAAGCTTCGATAGCTCATATTTTAGAGTTTTTGAAGTTGCCGATATCTCTTTCAATGCGGTACACATTGCGTGACAAAATTATAATATGCTCGGTCTGTGTACATCAAAATTCAATGCAATTGACAACTTTCGCCATTTTAAGCTGAAGTCTACTGACATTAATTCTGAAGTTTAAACGCAACAAAACAAAAAAAAAAAAAAAGACTTTGATAGGCGACTGGCCTATGCAATACCGATCTTGGCGCATATGCACATATATAATTGTTAAGTAGTGGCAGCAACGTGGCTCGGCAACTTTTCTTTTCCTCTTTGCCGGCCAATATACACTTTCTACGCAGCTAATCGATAATTATTGATCAAGCGCGGAAAACACTATCGATAATTGACAATCTAACTGTTGTGCAGCCCCAGACAGTCAGTAAGCCCAGCCAACCAGTCAGCCAGCTAGCTGACATTGCTGTGAATCACTAGATTCTCTGCAACTTTGTATCAATTTGTATCTGTATGTGTGTGTGTGTGTGTGTGCGTCTTGTTAATTGGATTGATTGTTAGCTGGCCAATTGGAAAAGGTGTTGTGAGGTGCGACATTCATTGCTTCACAGCGATTTGGAATTGTATTTCAGATCTATAGTCCGATTGCCGAGGGATACAATATGTAGCTGTTGGTAAAAAAAAACTTCTATGAGTATCTGTGTTTTATTTACAAATTACAAATTAGTTTGACTAAACAATCTGTATATCTCGGTTGATTAGCGGCACCATAAGGGTTAATAGTTTAAGTTCTGCATTTAACTATGACTTTCAAAAATAAATGAATCTTAATTCTGTAAGAAAGCTTTACCATAAGCTGATTTCTATAGCACATAACGGCCTTTAGATAATGTCTTATTCATATTTATTATCACATAAACTTTATTATTATCCTTGAATATACAATAATGATTAGATAAGCATAATTTCCTATTACTTGCAACAGTGATTATGTCAGGCATAACTGCAATATAAATCAAATAAAATAGTGTTTAACAACATCTTTAGAAATATTTATAAAGTTGTTTCTTAGACTAGTGCTGGTATTTTATACAACATTTCCGTTCAACTTGTGAATAAGTAAAAAGGATGGTCAATTACAAGATATGCGCTTAGATTTATTTGAAGGTACTCTTCCAATCAATATTAACGCTTGTCATTTTTATTTTCTGTCCAATTGGAGTTTCTTTTTTAGTTTACACCAATCCATGCAACAAATGTTGGATTAATTTTCGTATTTCAAATATACCCAGAAAGTAAAGTAAAATTGTTTTTAAATATTTAATTTGACATGCATAAGTATTTGTGTTTATTGTCGACTGATTAAAGAAATCATTTTTTTTTTTTTGCTAAATGTTTAATAACTTTAAATCTTGGCCAAGTCCATCCTTAATAACTGTAATAATTTTAACCAAGTAATCTGATAAAAACTACAACCGTATGAAGAGTTTACAAATCGCATTCGGAAAGGCTTGGGATTTTGATCAGACACAAGGGGCAAGTAGCTATGAAAATAGCTGCAATCAATTGTAATTAATTTGGAGACACACAAGCGAGAGCTTAAATTACGTAACAAAACAAAAAGGGTATTTAATCTTCGTCAGCTTGAACAGTAAGCGCTCATTCATTTTGGTTGTGTTTTGTTTTGTTTAGTTTTGTCTGTTTTTTTTTTCACTTTTTTCAAAATTGATGGCACACCTGATCAAATTCCTAAAAGCTAAGAGGAAATTACCGAACATTCGAAATGGTTGCGCGCGCGCGCCAATCCATCAAAAAGTGCAACATCGGATATCGGCAACATTGATCAACTAACTCGCAACTCCGCTTGAATGCACAGTTAACTGCCACAGTGCAGCCAGCAGAAAGCCGTGCAGGGAAAGTATTGCAGCATGGCCAGCACCATCAGCCCCATCAAGCAAGTCATTTAAACGTCAGTTATTGTTGTTGTTGTTGTTTTCTAGCATGCCGGGCAATTATAATGGATACAGCTAATCAACATTTTAGGGAAATCAACAAAACCAAATACTACTACTACTTCAATAACACAACAGCAACAAAAAAATAAAAAAATACATTACATGCATAAATTCAGGCAACCACACTCAATTTTCGTGCCACAGTTAAATTTTCATTATGGTTTTTTTTTAAACTCTTTTTTTTTTTGTTGTTTTGTTTGCGGTTGCACGAGCTTCTGCTGGACACGTTTTAAGTGAGACAATACTGCAGCCGGCGAGCCAAACAATAACGGTTTGATGCGCTCCAGCAGATCAGTGCAGCAACCAATTTAAAGCAAACCCGAAACTCAATAAAAAAAAATATTTAAAAAAAAAAACCAAACAAATGAACTCCACTGATGAACAATTACTCGGACATTTGTTTGTTACAGACGAATGAACTGAAACTTTTAAAAACCAAACTCATTCAACTTCCAATCTATGTATAAATGCAGCACGTGCACCGATCTCTTGGCAGCCACAGTGTGCACTATGATAATGAACAGGTAGCAGACTATGTACACTCTATCCTCACATATAAAACGAAATTAGAAATTCGATTTTCAAAGAATTATAATAGCCATTTTCAATGCATTTAACGCCTTAAATTTAAGAGTTATATTTATGCATTTTAGAACACGAATTGCGGAACTAGCTCAATGTACATTTTATGTATAGTTTCTTTTATCCGTTATCCATAATATATTTTAGTAAGAAATTACTATAATTAAACAAGAAAAATATTTTCACCCGTTTTCACCTGTCCCAAAAACAAAACAAAAAAAAATGAAATGAAATGACAAATTTGTGTGGCTTAAGATATGTTGATCGTTGGAAAATCTTTATGACAGGCGGTCAGCGGCCATCATGTCAAGTTTAAACAAAATCATAAAATTTATTTGCAATTAATAAATTTATACACTTTTTGCTGTCACTCGGTTTTCGTTAGCCTCGCCGGCGGCTGACGTTGCAATTAGCGCTTAGGCACTTGCAACAACCTGCGAACCTTTGATGACATGAGCCCCAAGCTGCACGCTGCACGCTACAAGCCGCAATCAGCCAAATAGAAAATTAGCTTCCACACAGGGTGGGGTTTTTTGTTTCTTTTCTCTTCGTTTCGTTTCGTTTTACAGCCGCGCTTTCTTTCTTCGGCTGACAGACTGTTTGTTGAACTATTGAAGTTATTGAAGCTGCAATACCCACAATGTCCAACAAATTGTTATCATCACTGCCGCCATTCCACTGTATTTCTTCTTTCCCTGCATTGTAGTCTCAGGAATGCATTGTTGAGAGTAAAAAAAAAAAAGGTTAATCATAAAATTAGACTGACGATCCCAAGCAAACAGAACAATGAAAGAATGTTACGTAGCGGTTATTTCTTAATCGGGCACGATCATCAAAATTATATTCTTACTATGCCTGTAATCGAATTTTATAAATAATAAAGTCACTGCCTAGGAATTTATCCACATACATGTTAAGTTTTATCCCAACTGTAAGTTTTATATAAATAAATTATGATAAAAAAAAAGTTATTTTCATTGAAAACTAATTAAAGTTCACGTTATGTGGGAGAAAACAACAGACAACCAATTTACTTAACAACATTTCTTAATACGAAAATGTTTTCGTACAGTGCAAACAACAGTTAATCAAACACAAAAATCTTTGATCCTCCCAAATAATGTGGATATTAATTGAACAAGGTCTGTGAGACAAGTCAGATATAAACTGATTTTGAAATTGGAAATGAAATTAAGTAGTGGGCAGCTGTCGACTGCACCACAGAGTAAGGTGCTCAAAATATACTATCAATATGTATGAAGAAGAAAAATGAGAAAACGAGAAATGAGAAGTGACATGAGTTCACACAAATCAAACTTCGCCAATGTTTTTGGGAAGGCGTTATGTATAAATCGCATCCCGTATTCCCAACACCAATCAAAATAACAACAAAGGCAACGCAAAATATAAAAAAGATTTTTTTTTTAAAAAAAGAGATGTCAGAAAGGGGCTAGTATTTTGCTTAAACTAAATCAATGCAGCAACTATCACTTTTACTTTAAGTGATCACAAAACAACTTTTACCCGTAAGGTTTTTTGTTTTTTGTTTTTGCTTTTGTTTTTGTGGATAAGAAGTGTTCAACATTTTCGTTGTCATTGACTCAATACATATTTAGTGCTGCCTCCATTGCATGCTGCTGCATGCACTATGTACTAGGTAAAAGCACTTCATCTCCCAGCTCCTCCAAGTCCCGCTCCCAGCTCCCAGCTTGCAGCTCGCAGCTCCAGCTTCACTCTCCGTATGGTGCACATCGGCTGTCACCGATAGCAAGTTGAGCTCACTTGGTTTGCCAATGGCATATGAACCATCTGCACCGCAAAATTACCTGCCGGTCAGGTTTGCTTTTTTCTCACATTCTCTGGTCAATGCAAAAACAAAAACAAACCAAAAAAAGGCAAACTTTAATTTCTGATTTGCCTCAGTGCTGCTGCAGCTGCTGCTAACACATGGAAACACTACTATATCACATGTGAAAGGCATTCGATAGTAGATAGCCGATATGCACTAACAACAAGTCAAGTTCGAGCGCCTCTTCCATCCATCCTTGCGTGGTTGTCTTAACGTTAACTTTTACCGCAACGATTAATATTTGGTCGTTATATCAAAATGACATATACAAACAACTAATTAAGCATTATGTGGGCAACTCCAATTTCCATATGGATGTGCTTTCTAAATACCTTATATATCATATTAGACTACATGCAAAAAAAAAAAGAAAAAACAAAATAACAACAACTGTCAATTAGTCAATCAATCTATTGGATTGATAGGATTGCATCATTGCTGAATAATGGAATAATATGTGTTTAAATGGTAATCAAGAGTGATCAAATATAAGATACCATAATTTCTGTGGTATTCAAATCAAGCTGAGATATTAATGCTCAAATAAATAATTAAGGAAAACTATGACACGCAAGTTTGAGCACCGTCACGTAACATTTTATTCAGTAAAATGTTGCATTACACAATGGCTTATGGCTCTCTTTGCCGAGTTTGGCATTGTATTATAGATTCAGACACATTTTTCTTTACTGCTACATGTGCTTGCCGCAGAGTTGTAGCGGTGGAATGCAACCATATCTGTGGTGTAAGATGAATTATGTTGCTTATGCTTTCGACTTATGCCTCTTATGCCACAAATATACTAATTGCATTTGGCAAGCAATATTCACTTGTGGCGATCACATCGCAATCGCTGGAACTTCCACTCTGTCTATAACATTTCAGTTCCAATTCCCAGTTCTCAGTTTTTCGTCTTCATTCATGCTATATAGTTTATGGGGTCATATTTGTTTTATGTACTGACTGACGACTCCCTTGTCTGCCTCTTGCATAAATTTGTCCAGGTTTATTCCCTTCTAACACATTTTTAATTGGAGCCGAGTTTATTTACAAAACGAATCATGACAAATTTTATTACTTGATGTGGGAGTCGCAACAACAACAATGAGCTCAAGAACAGCAACACACACACACACACACACACACACACACATAATGAGAACACTCGTTAAGTAATTTCAGCATAGGCAATGTGAATTGCAACTGTTGCCGGTCGAGCTTTTCCGCACCGTTGGCTTCAGGCACTGAGCTTTAACACCAGAATCTGGCGTGATGTTAAGTGCCATCCACCGTTGCTGTTACTGCTGCTCTCTCCCTCTCTCTATCTCTCTCCATCTCTCTCTCTCTGTCTGTGGCTTTGTTTCTTGGCTTACATTTTTCGCTTCTCATCTGATTGCAATGCTTGACTTTTCTAAGCCAGGCAGAATAATTGCAATTTCTGCTGGATGATAATTAGGCATACTTCATATCCCCCATTGCCTTATAATTTTCTTGGATGTGGCACGTCTGTGGCTAATTTCTTAAACTTAAACTCCCATAATTGTTTAATTTGAATTGTAACTGACCTCAAAAAAAATAATAATAATAATAATAAAAACGTTTTTTTCTTTGCTTTTTTCTAGGGTGTTGAGGGCCCCAGGTGGCGGGTCAAGTGACATTTTTGGATCTGATATGCCGCAGACACCACGCAACGTCAAAAATCGCATGGCCTCAAATATATTTTCAGCCGATAAAGATGCCGCTCAGAAGAACAATGGTAAGTAATGTTATTTTGTCAATAGATACACGGAAAGATACATTTTGAGATATACAAATAAAATATATTTCATATCTTAACCAGACACTGAGCAAATATTTGTCTAGTCTCCAGCTTGTAACAACGCTTTTTCAGCAGTTTTCTTATTTATTACGCTCAAATTGCTTTACAATAATCAAAAGAAACATACACATTACCTTGTGATGAATTAGCTTATTTAGACTAAATTAGAAATTGGATAGCTCTCTCTACAAAATACTTTATAGTTTTATCGTCTCGATAGAAACCCACACATTTTTATCATTGCAGCCAATTGTGACTGTCGTCCAACATGCAATAAAATGAAAACGATATTGTGAGCTTGTTTACTGAATGTTTCTCGATATCCATTTTCTCTCTCTCTCTCTCTCTCTCTCTCTCTTTCTCTTTTTCTTTTTTTTTTCTATATATATCTTTACAGTACGGCAAGGAGCTCACAGATTCTATTTCATTGGTACATAAATATATACATATTTAAAGTGTCCGATTTAACATAAACAATTATTTTGTTTAAATTCTGTTATTGGTTTACCATTTACTAATTTAATTGTGCAAATCAAACAAATGAAATCAAACAAATCTTCTGTCACCTCAAACTCTAGCACAGTGCTAATAAAGAGAACATTTTTTCACAAAGAGTCTAATTTACACACAATTTAATTCAATTAAAACCACTTATTTTTAAAATTTATATTTCATATTTTAATTTAACTTAAGCAATTATTAAAAGCAAATAAGAATGCTGCCTGTAATCAGTCTTGATTAAAGAGTTTCAATAAGAAAAACCATTGCTCCAGATACCACGGATTTTCTTAGAGAAATATAAACGAATAGAAATCAGAAATATAATTGTTATATAGGTCAAAGACAACCCGCTGAGTTCAAAAATAAAATTGAATGGAGCCACTTTTACTGCTAAAAACCACTAATTATTATTCTTTGCTGTTTTCTTCACTCAAACCATGCAAATTTTAATCGATTGCCATTTTGAAATCGAAATCCATTTGCATATGCAGCCAGCAGCCCAGCATCTCACTTAATTAATTATTATAATTAAATGGCCTAATCTCATGCTTTCAGAAATGAGAGCTACTTAAGTATTTACTTGTTAATCGTTTCAGTTCAGTTTATGGTTAACATATTTTAATTTGTCTTGTCTTACTTATGCAACATTGTAGTTATGTAAGCACATTCACTCATACAGCAAACTAATTTATAATCTTGTACTTATTTTGTTTCTGCAAAAAAAAAAAAAACAAAAAAAATACACATCAAATCAACGACTGTTTTCATACGAAACTTGTAATCTACAAAATATACAGGTGATGCACCGCGGAGGGGCCAAAAACCCGTTGACTCCTATTCGCGTCTATTTGGTGAACCGGCACGTCCCATTACGCCGGGCAAGAATCACATGAAGAGCAGCATTCCATTTGGACAAAACACAAATGCCGCACAGCAATTACTTGCCAACAACAAGGGAAAATACAATGGCAAAAGTGGTTCGGTATCGTCGGCATCATCTTCCGTTTCTTCTTCGACTGAGAATTTAAAAATTAACGTAGGCAACCGTTCAGGTAAATTAAAACTGAATTTCGCACATTACTGTGATATATATATATATATAATTGTGATTATTATTTATAGAAACAAACAAAATTATTAAAGCTTAGAGCCACTTTCAAACACCAGTCAGAGTCCTGTCCCAATTCTGCCTATCGATTTAGTTAATATTGTTCGGTGAATTTTCGTGTGCCTAGTGAATTTTCGGGGTCGTTTACAAAGAATTGCGGTGGGGTTTTATAAATAAAGCTTTTCACACTTTAGCATCGGCACAAATTCACATTTATTGCTCCAGACACGCGACAATTAACTTACAAAACTAAATTGGATCGATCGAAAATTAGTTTCGGTTTCAAGGGTAATTCTCATCCGCAAATAATTCCAATTTCTGGCTATTGCATTTTAGTTCATAAAATATTAATGATTGTTATATAATAAATGAAAAATGATGATAGTTTATTAAAGAGACAATGAATATGAAAAAATACTTATATGAAAGGTCTTAGTTATAATATAATTATGATTCAAATTGTAGCAAATATTTAAATTGTTTTCCTTTTGCCTTACCTTTTTTATTCATAATAGATGGCAATCCCGTGACTGGTGAGGGCTACAAGGCTGGTGGAAACGATTATATACAACCAACAGCAGCTATGAACGGCGGGAACCAGGTTATCAACAAGAATCGTGTGCCACCCGGCGGATATTCATCGGGTCTCTGGTAATTACAAATTATGGAGACACGAATGAAAATCAACATGGTCGGATGAATGTGTGCACAGCAAGAGACAGCCCAACAAACAAATATAATCCCAAGAAAAGCATAAAAAAGAAAAAAAGAAAAACAAAAAAAAAACAAAAAGAAACGAAAACGAATCCCCTACTATCCGCATATGCGAAATTAGCCCTAGCGTTTTTAATAATAAGAGCCAGCAACAGAAGAGCATTACAGCCAACACCACCCAACACCAATCGAGTCGACAACTGCATCAATTCTTATATCGAATAAAACCTTGTTCTTAGTATTGAAAGCAAAAAAAGAAAAAAAAAAGAGCGCCGCACAAGATCTATCTAACTGTATAAAATCTTGTTTCGCAAATGAGGTTAAGCACTTTACTTCACGGAACATTATTGCTCAATGTCGGATCTTATCAGCATTACTAAGCCAAGAATCATTATACACATAATACCACACAAATATTTGGAATCACTCTTCATCAACGCATGAACCTAATTGATTTATCGCTGTAACCACAATTATGTATGTCCCGTTAAATCATCATCGTCAACCACAATATGCAACTAAATGGAATACATATACGTATGTAATACGCTTTAGAAATTTAAATGAATTTGGTTTTTAATTCTATCAAGCCTGAATCCCAAATGCATATTGGCCACAAACATTACATAAAATACCATACCATACCACAACTAGCATTACTTACATCCAATATTATACTATTACGATATTAAAATATATTAATGCGTTGTTCAGACCTGTTGTAGGTAAACGAACAAAGACATACATTCATTTCTACGCATACATACGTGCATTATATTAATTCTTTAATTTACACTTATGTTTAAAATCAACACCACATTTATATTTATATCAGTGCATACAACATACAACAAACACATACATACATTATATTTACGTACATTAAATAAAAACAATAGTACGTGCATGTGCGCACGCACATAAAAATAAAAAAAAAATAAACTAAAACTTTTGTTTTATTAAATGCCTATTTAAGCCATACTTCGGCCATGTACTTAAAGATCTACAAAGGACACATACTTTTAATACATAAAAAAATATATAGATTGGCATTCGAGGATCCTGGTGAGTCTTGTGTCAAACAATTAATTTTGACTTGGGCTACCAACTGGCCAAAGGACATCCAAATCGTTATTTTGTTTTCCGAAAAAAAGGATTGTTTTCGGCTCATTTCCATTCACCCTGAAGTAAAATTTTCACAAGCGTTTGGGCTCGTAGATGACCCCAAAGTCCTCGAATGCACTTCGATTCAGTTCGTCCTTCAGATTCGAATGCACTATGACCTTCGAAAATATGTGAGGATTTTTCTGGAAAAGTCTAAAAGTATGCTTCAAGAATCTGTTAATATTTACAGAAATCCATATGTACATCACAGCATTCAGTATTATACAGCAGTTCAACAGAGGTGCAGATTTATAGCAAGCAGCTTGTACATGTATTGCCAATTATTTTCCAGTCTTAGCGTTGATCCCGCACTTAAGGAATTTTTAGACACAAGTTTTTCGCTATTATATAGGTTTTGCATATGAAATCGATTTACAACGGCGACGACTAGGTATTTTGTTCAAAAACTGAGCTATTTCATTGTAAGGTATCGATGCCTACACAAACTTAAGTGCATAATGTATATTTTCGGTAATTTCCAGCACTGTTTTAAACAGAAGCTGTTAATGCCGCTCAATATTTTGTTTATTGTGGATGAAACGATTTAAAACGTATACAAACCCACAATGGAAGTGGAAAATAACAACAACACAATAGTACCTGCTGTAAAGCGCTCAGCAACTGCCGATGTTGAAGATGGCGCACAAAATACCAAAAGACTGAAGCACAATGCAACCGACTCCAGCGGCGAGGTGCACGTGCCTGAGGACAACAGCAAACAAGAGGAGTGTTCTCAACGAGCGCCCGCCCAGAGTCCGAAGAAGCGACTTCAGCTGGATAGTACAAATGTTGGCAACACTGGTCCAGACAAGCCCAGACACAACAAGAATGAGACATTCATGTATGGCAACTACAGGCACTATTATGGAAAGCGCATACTGGACAAGGATTTCCACGATATACGCTTGGATGTGCTGGCAACACAGACAGAGCTATTTCGCGGCAAACAGTTGCTGGACATAGGCTGTAATTCTGGGCACCTTTCCATTGAGATTGCGAAGAAATTTGGGGCCAGGAGTCTTGTTGGCCTGGACATTGATCGCAATTTGGCGCATAGCGCACAAATGGTCATAAATGCACTCAAACGTTCCAGCGTGACTCCTATAACCCCTAGCATCTTTCCATACAATGTGAAATTCGTGCATGGCAATTATGTGCTGGACGACGATGTGCTGCTCGAGATTGAGCGTCCACAATATGATGTGATCCTCTGTCTGTCCGTCACCAAATGGATACATCTCAACTTCTGTGATGCTGGCCTAAAGCAGGCATTCAGGCGCATGTTTCTCCAACTGCGACGCGGCGGCAAGCTAATCCTGGAACCACAATCATTTGATACGTATAAGCGTCGCAAGAAGCTTTCGGTGAGTGAACTACAAGATACTACTTCTGTATTGCCCTCCATATAACTGTTACTCTTCTCTAATTGGCAGGAAAGCATACGTGAAAATTACAATGCCATCAAATTTCAACCAGATCATTTCACGGCCTACTTGCTCAGCCCAGAAGTGGGATTTGCCAGCATGGAACTCATGGGCGTGCCGGAGCACTGCAAAGCGGGCTTCAAGCGACCAATACAGATCTTTAGCAAAGTTTAGAGCTCAACGGTGTTTTTTGAGTTTTATCATTATTAACAAAGGAGGCAAACATAACAAGTACTGAGGTTAATTTACCGCGTTCGTTGCTTTTTATTGGTATTGGGTGTGCTGGGCGGTGATTGCTGCATCTGCTCCATTATTGTGGGTACGCTTTCCAGCAACTCCTCGGCCGTCAGCTTATAATCGCTGTCTACCCACAGCAGACGCAGTTCGTTTAAAACTAGACCGAGTTTTCTGTGTACCAGGCCATAACTGCTCAGCATGTTACCCTTAATCGGAAAGTTGGGTATCTGCCACGCCTTCAATTGCTGGTACAGCTCCAGCTTATTGGCATACTTCAGCAGATGCTCGACATAGTCGCGTTTGGCATACGGCTGCAGGCACAGTTTCTGACAGTCGCGCAGGGATTTATACTCGTTATCGATCTGAAAATAAATATAAATAATAATATATAATATAAATTCGCATTCACTTTGCAACTTACCCGGTGGCGCTGCTGTGTGATGAAGAGTGCCAAGTCGCGCTCGTAGGCGGACAGCTTGAGACGCTCGTGCAGCTGCATTGCCTGCTCGGTGGTGTGCAGCAGTCCGCACATGTAGAGTATGGGATGATGTGACTCCTCCTCGAAACGTTTAAAACTGTTGCAGAGTCGCTCAAATTCCGAGATGTTTGGTTGCGCCGGCAATCCACAGTGTTCAAGCAGGCCACAATTATACATTTCCAGGACCAATTCCCGGCCGAAGTTGCCGGCAATAATCTTTCGCAATTCGGCCCAAACACGTTCGCTACTAATTCGCGCCAGACCCGCGCCATTCGCCTTGATGGCGGCCAATGTGGCCGGGTCGTGTGAGTTGGGATCCGCTGCTATGCGGCCATAGAAGCGGAAGTAACGCAGAATGCGTAAATAGTCCTCCTTGATTCGCACGTCGGCATCGCCAACGAAAATGATGCGACGACGCTGCACATCATCGTAGCCATAAAAATAATCGTAGACGGTGCCATCTAGTCCGAGAAACATGGAGTTGATTGTCAAATCGCGACGATTCGCATCCAATTGCCAATTGGTGGTGAAGACTACATCCGCATGGCGTCCATCTGTGCGCACATCGATGCGCAATGTGGTCACCTCAAAGTTCTCCATGTCGTTGATGCGCGGCGTTATTGTGCCATGTTTCTCGCCTTTGGCATTAATCATGCGCACATCCTCCTTGGTGAACATCTCCTTCATCTGTTCCGGTGTCGCTGTCGTTGCAAAATCCACATCCTTCGGTTTGATTTTCATCAAAATATCCCTCACGGCGCCGCCAGCAATGCGCAGCTCATAATTATATTTCTTGAAGAGCGCAACGAGTGTCTCCAGTTCGGGTGTGAAAATGCTACGAAATTCGTCACTGTCGACCTTGGTGAAAGCGGGATTCTCACGCATCTTAGGCGGCTTACCAAGCTGTGCGATTATCTCTGCCGAAAGATCTGTTTCGTCGATTTTTTTTGGTGGCGAAGCCATGCGGTTCGCAGATGTTCTCAAATGCTGACGGCAATGGATGACAATGGATGCTGTAACTCGTGGCGTTGTCAGTATCTTTGCAATGTAACGTGTACCATACATTTGAAAGCTTCGAGCTGGCAAAATTAACTTGTTTGCTCAAAAACAAAATCAAAAACCTCCAAACAACAAATAAAACTATGGTGAAACAGCTGACAACTGACAGCTAGAGAATCGGCTGTTTTAAGTATCGATATAAAAAATGCTATCGATATAAAAAGTATGATATCGATGTATTATTTGGACTTCTGTTGAATTTGAAATCGCTTTCTGCTTAAACAATTTATTTAAAATAAAACTTAATTATTAACCAAACATATATATAGCTTTTAATGAATTGGTGCTAGATGTTTAGTGAATTTCAAGGCCCAAGATTGCGTGCTGTGTTTCCTCTTAATACAAAACTTGAAATAAATCACCATTGATAGCATTTATACACAATTTATTATTTCTAATCATATATATATATATTTATATAAATATATATTTTATAGAATCTATATTACCAATTTGCTGAAGTTACAGTTCCTATTGCCAATTTCAACAACCAGGCTTCATTTCCACTAAACAGTTTCACATATTGGGTACTTTGCTTAGGCTTACATTAAAACATTATATACATAATATACGAGCGCGGAAGTAGATTTGTAACTTAAATTTTAGGCAATATGTATTAAATTATCAATTGATCACAATCAACGATGTATTGAAAAACGACATGACAATTAGCTAATTTCTACATATGTATAACATCTAGCAATGTTCAATTAAAGAGTTTGTAATTTATTGCAGTATATATTTATTAATATTTTAGTTTTCCTTTTTTTTTAATAGTTTTGCCTAATGAACAGTATCAAACAGCACTGTTAAAAACAGGCTCAGTGAAAACGTGTACGCCTTTTATGTCTCCTCACTCACACACATAGTTATCATTTTATAGATTTGTTTATAAGTATTTCTTAAGGCCTAATTATTCAATTTATAATGATTTTATTTTTACAATTTTAACATCAGGAATTCAAATTAAATTACAAAATGTGCAATATGACAGAAGCGATTTGTAATGTTAAAAAATCAAAAAATGTATGTAAATATGTCTCGCCCAGAAGTCCATGAAGCTTTAACTAACATCTATGCTAAAGACTATGATCTGTACGCTCTGACAGTTTTGCTCACTTAGTGTGTATATCCTAATCGTGGGTGTTCATAAAAAAAACGTACCACAAATTTCAAGAATTCCTTAAAGCTGCGCTCAGCCCAATGCATTGTAGTTAATTTTCTTCTTTTTTTTTTTTTTGAGCTAAACATTAGTTACATAAACTTTTGTATCGCTGCCGCAAGCACAAGCAGTCGATCCAACGATTTACACATACTGACCTTAATTATTCCTATAATGCCTAATTAACTAATACATAATTCTGCTCATATTGTATTCTATATATATATATATATATATATATATATTTATATATGTATATATATATATCAATTTATATATATATTTGTATATATTATTTTCTCTGTTTCGTATATTTCTCAAACCTAACAGCCAGATTATGCAAAAATATTTGTTATACTCTTGTATTTATTATTGGGTTTTCTTGTATTTTTTAATAACTTCATTAATTCATATTATCCGCATGTGTGTATTTCTTTGCATTAATTATAAATTGTTTTCATTTTTTGTTTTTCTTTTTTCTAGTTTGCATTTCGTGTTTGTTGCATTTCAGTAAAATCGGAGATCGCAGTATCTTGGGTTCAACATAATTTAATGGACGAGTTACAATGCTATTTGCTGGCTTAGTGTTTAATTCATTAGTTATCGTGATCAGCATTATCAAGAGCTGGATTATTTCGATTATGACGATGTTTTGGTGGGGAATAAACGTAATCATGATCGATATCCTCCAGCTCGATGTTATCATCTGCATCGTCGTATTCAGCGTCGCCGTCATCATCATCATCACCATTTTCCCCATCATCATTATCATTATCATCATCGTTTTCGCCACCGTTCTCCTCCTCATCACTTGAGGAATGCAGCTCAAGTTCCCGGAGCTGCCTTTGCACAAAATGTTAATGTTCCATAAGCGCCGCTAAACAAAAAAAAAACCCGATGAGATTTAAATACTTAATACACACACACCGACAACAAGTTGAGAAAAAATGAAAGTCGTATCTTACGTGATGGTGTTCGGCCGGTCTTATTCTCATTGGGCGTAAAATTTAGAAAGTCCCATATCAAAATAGTATCATCATGCGAGCTGCTGACAATTTGAAATTCATCAAATTGCAGACGAAAAACGCGACCAGTATGCTCCTAGATACAAATCAAATAAGTAATCGAAATCCTTGATAAACATTAGCTGGCAGAGAATATTTATACTTACCACGAGGGTATTTAGGCACAGCGTATTGGAGGCGGCACGCGGATCGAGAGCGGCAACCAAATCCCATACCTTAATTTTACCATCATAGGCACCGCTGACGATGCGCTTTGTATCAAAGCGAATGCAGCGCACCAGCTCTTCATGGCCCTCCAAGACACGCAAGCAGGCGCCACACTCAATGTCCCAAAGCCTGTCGACGAGCGGAGATGGAAGTATGTAAAAATAAGTTGTGTATACAAGTTGTAATATGTTGTTACCTGATTGAATTGTCGGAGCTGCCGCTAACAACGAGACGATCTCTGTACTGTAGACAGGCGATGCCACGTTTGTGACCATTCAGGGTACGCACAAATTCACAGCTCGACGTGGACCACACTTTAATGGTGCGATCTCCGCTGGCGGACACAATATATTTCTCATCAAAATCAACAACATTGACAGCGGCACGATGGCCGACAAGGACGCGACGCAACGTGATCTCGCTGGGCGAGGTCATGTCCCAGACAGCAATGGAGCGATCCTTGGAGCAGGTAACCATCATGCCATTATTGAAGCGCAAATGTAGCACCGCCTCGCAGTGATGAATAAGCGTGTTAACCATTTCACCAGTATTCACATCCCACACACGCACCGTCGAATCGCTGGAGCCGCTGATAATAACTTTGTCGTCATATTGCAGGCACAGCACGGATCCAGTGTGTCCCATCAGCGTCTAAAATACCAACAACAAAACGATTAGAAAACTAGCTCAACAACAACAGCAACGTATCTCGTTTTACCTTCACACACTGCAGATCCGTACGATCCCATATCTTGATCGTATTATCCCGCAAGCCGGACACAATCTTGCCATCGTCGTACTGTAGGCAATAGACACCCTTTGAGTTCTCCGAGCGACAGTTGATCCGACGCAGCATATGTCGACCGGTTCGCCAGTTGTTCTCTATGCTGTCAATATCCTGCAATCAAATCATCACATGCAATTCAACAATTGGTTTTCGATATACATCTGTGGGATTTGCAAATGTTTTCGGTACTCACATTCATGATCTTAGGAAATAGCTCGCGATGGAATGAGTGCGGTCTCTGTATTTGTCCCGGTCGCGGTTTAAACAGATGCTGCATCCAATTCCGACGCTCGGCCAGGCCACGCCACAGGGAATCGGTGCGCACCTTCCGCTCGATGAGCTTCTTCCACAGCATACCCTCAGATATAACACGCAGCCATTCTTTACACACCAATTCGGCGGATTTTAGCGACTCCGCATCCAGATACGATAAGATGTTTTCGGCAATATGATCCAGACCTTTTTCTGTGGAATATTGGATTGGATGAGTAACGAAATAATTGATTTATAACTGATTCTTAGAAGTTTTTACTCAGAGTTCAAGTGCAATTCTTAAAAGTTATCTGCTTGAGACTATAAACGTTGGCGAATGAACCCATTACGGGAAATACACACATGCAAAAATATAAAAACCTGGATGACTCATCACCACTTTCAGTTTGCTTAGCTTGAGTGCGTTTTGCGCTTCCTGACAAGTGAGTTAGTGACTAACCAACGTATCCATATAATAAGTGCTATTTATATGGCCATGGATGTGGCTGTATACAGTCACATAACGATGCATAAGTAAATACCAAGGAAGGTTGGGTGGCATAAGGTCTAGTTGATTGTTGACTCATCGCAGATACAGATTGTGATCTGCTGTCGCTAATGAAGCACTATGTATAACCAAGTACCAATCAGTGGGAAGTTGCTTCATAGACGGTTACGCGACTTACACCTACAGACGCTAACTTTGGACGCACCTAACGGTGTTTAGCAGCAGTTGGAGCAGCTAAAAGAATTGACTGTGAGCAATCGACAGATATTTCAAGCAGGGAATCGAGGAGGTATGATTACCACCTATAGCAGCGAATAAGGGAAGGGTAAGGTTAGGTAAGGGGGCAAGTGGCCCTGCTGGTTTGCAAGTGAAGTGAAGTGCTTGCTGCAGCATTTGCCAAACACAATTAAAAATGTGCATAACTCGCAAAGTGACTTTGCAACGACAACGAGAGAAATACAACAACAACAACAACAACTGCAACAGCAACATCAACCAAGTTTGCAACGCTGATGTAGTTCAAGTTGTCGCCGTTTGCTGTTGCTGCTGCTGTTGTTGTTGTTGCTGTTCTCGTCGCCGTCTAACGGTTCATGTCGCCTGCCTATCCTCAGTTCTGTCTGCCTCTGCAACACACTTATGCATACATATATAATTGTGTGTGTGTGTGCGTGTGTATTACTGGCTGGTTAGCTGCCTTTGAAGTGCATTACAATGTAAATGGAGGAGGAAACAACGCTGCTTATTTCCCTGTCTCATTCGCATTTTTTTAATGCACGAGCTCATCCTGGAAAAAAAAAGAAGAGGAACAAATTCACAAGCCAAAGACTGTCAAGAATATTTGTTCGTCTCTTGTCTACTTTACTGTTCCAGCCAAGTTGTTATCGCTTTGTCAAGCAAGATGTAACGACTCGAGAGAGATATCTACCAAAGCAGTAAACGTAGATGTGTGGCAAAAAAAAAAACAAAAAAAAACCTTATATCTGACATCATGAAAGAAAATAAGTTATCATTTCAGCAACTACTGCTATCAGTTTTCAATATGAGAAAAGAGGCTCGAACATTTAATTCTATCGCGTTGCTTTAAATAACTCGTGATTCTATTCTTCATTGCAGTAATCGACACAAAGACAAATGGAAGATTGAGAAAAAGAGAGACGGGTATAGTGGAGTCAGACAGTGAGAGAGAGAGAGAGAGAGAGAGAGATATTTAAGGTCCCTCAGACAGACAGGCAGACGGAAATGATCAATAAATGTATTTTATTGTATGTTATATATTATATATATATTTTGAATATATTTCTTTATATTTTTAAATCATGTATTTCTTTATGATGAAAACGTACGATGATTATGTGCGTAGCCCTGGAAATGCTAATGGCCAAGGGTATTTCAGGATCGATATGCCAAAACTAAGGCCTGTTCATGTCTTGTTTGGTATAAGGAACTGCTCCAGGTAAGCCTTTGACAATGGGCATGTAATTATTCGCTCGCATTTACCTGAGGACATCCTGAGTACATTCAACCTTACAGCTCTCTAGAACAAGTGTCAATTATAAGTGAAACTGCTAAATTTTAATTCTTGATGTCTATCTTTAATTTTACAGATGTCTTCAGATATCGTCTTATATATATATGTATATATATATATATATATATATATATATATATATATATATATAGATACAGCTTACAATAATAGTATCATCTTTACTTATGATTTTCTTATTGATTTTATTCTAGGCCACATTGGAATTAGGGGCTTAAGCAATAATAGTGAATTTCCATACAATTATTTTGTTCATTGAATTGATTACAACATTACATATATATATATGCATAACGATTTGCGAAGGCTTTTGCTTTTGTTGTTTTCTTTCTGTGACGGCGAAGCGCGTCGCTTAATGGAAGCAATGACCTTTCAGTCAACAACATAAGCGGCGCCGCCAACGACGACAACAACTTTGCCAGCCAACGGACAGCAGACGGCACCTGCACCAGTGGCGTTATCGCACTACGTAACAGTTGCACGGCAACGCAACGCAGTCACGGCTAGGACGACTTACGTCGCACGATGGAGCAAGGGATGGGGGCGGGGCGGGGAATCCCTTTACCTTCTCATATTTGGAATTTGTTCTCCCTCACATTGTATTTGATTGTTTCTACCCTAGTTCTAAGTCACTAGTTCGCGTAAGCGATTTGCTTTTAGTTCTTGTTACTTGTTGTTTAACATTGTTTTTACTTAAGATCGATTGACACTACTGGAAATATGAAGATCGAAGAACCTTACTTGAATTCCTGAGAATCACATAGAAAGGCGGCATTTAAAAATACGTTTTTTTCACTAATTTATTTTCTTTTTGAATAATTCCCACAGGGAAATTATACTAGCTTTGTGGTAGATTCGTAATATATAAATGTGAGTCAGTATATCAAAGACACATAATTATCTTCTTTCCTAGAGCTCTACTAACAGACACATTAATATTAGTGCGTACTACTGTGTGTACAAAAAAAACCCCCTTTAAACCCCTCCCAGACATTTAGTAATCATTATGGTGTCATTATTGTTTACTACTTACTTGGCAGCAGTGTTATAAAGTCGCGCTGTAACATCGGCTTAAGAAACGCATTGATCTGTCCATGCTGATAGTGGCACATCTGCGATAACAGCTGCTCCACAAACTCCACCTGTCCCGATTCGCTCCACTGTCTGAAGTACTGAAAACAGACATCCCGCTCCGTCTGGTATGAGGGCGATGAGTCTTTCTTGCGCACCGGATCGTACAGCATTGTGGTTGTGAACTATAGAAAGGAAATGCGGAAGAAACCGAAACGATTATAATAATTATGAAATTTTCTATATACATATATATGTTATATGCTATCTCTTTGTGAAGCGATCGCTCTCTCTCTCTCTCTCTCTCTCTCTCTCTCTTTGTTTATCTCTGTTTTTGGATGTCAAAGGGCACCTCGTACGAGTTGAAAAGTAGGTAGCTCTTGGCAATGGCATGAGTAATGGCCGGGTCAGGTCAGGTTATGTGCCAAGTTGAGAGATTGTGCAACTCTTACAGACGAGTTGGCGACCAGCAAGCAAATAAACTTACGGCTTACAATTAGCCAATTAGTTGAGCTTGTCTTTCGGTTTTTTCATTTTTCTTTTCGTTTCATTTCGTATATTTGGACTTGTATAGTTTTGGCTTTATTTAGCACAAAAATGGCAAAAATAAACTCAACCCGAGGACGGACAATGAGGCAAATCCGTACTCATTCATTGGTGCAGAGGAGAGAAAAACGGTGTAATACGTACCACTCTAGAAGGCAATTCTTGAATTTTGACTATACTTTGTGTTGTCATATTGATTTATTTGGTGTTATGACAGGCAGAGAAATGAATTCGAACTGGGCAATATTTGAAAGTAAACAATAATATTTGTGCCTGATAGGAAAATTTTCTGTGGGCATTTTTAACAACTTATTGGAGATTCGAGTTATACAAAGTATAAATATTCCAGGTTAAACGCAAACAATTGGTACTTAAAAAGCCATTAAAAATGATATCAATTTTTCAAACAATTCTCTGCTTTTTAACAATTGGGGTTAACCTTGCATATACAGATTTTTTGAAATTAAATTAAATTATTTCTAAATAAAGTTACTGCAATATCGGTGAAGGCTAACAAAAAGTGAAAGAAATGTGCAGATTTGGAATTATTAAGTTAACTTCAATGCAAATAATTAATAAATATAATGTATGTATATATATATAAATAAATAAATAAATATATATATATATATATATATTTATAATTGCTTATATAGTTAGTTGTAGTAATATTGATACCTTGACTATATCTAAACCTTGTCTATGCAGGTGTGTGAGTAAATGAACAATTGTTCGCGCTTCTATTTGCCAATGTTTGCCTGTATGTGTGTGTGTATGTGTGTGTCTGTACACGTTTTTAGCGGCTTAATTTAATAGCATTTCATATATGTTGTTGTTGTTGTCGTTTTCCATTTATTGCTGTTTGTTATAGCCATTTATTTGCGTTTGCATTAAAAATAAAGTTAAAATCGTTTTTTTTTTTTTTGAGGCTAACATTTTGATGTAGGTAATAACTGTTGAGGCGACGACTTGCGGCCTCCAACTACGCTTATTAGCCCCACTTGACAATGCTTACAATATTTTTCCACTTGAAATTTGTATAAACTTTTCCTACTATTCGCACAATTACTGCATATGTAGGTCAGCCAGCAAGTTGCTTTCAAAGTTTCCTCTGGAATATCCGTGAACTTATGACAAACTTGATTATCATACTCCAAGCAACCAATACAAATTGACAGACTGTTTAATATTGAATCGCTTATCAGTACAGTCTAAAGAATATGAGCATAGTGTAGCAAAATATTACACTTTAAGTGAATCAAAACTACAAATTTTCAAAAAATTTGAAATTCCCATGCTGCGGGTAATTCCAGTTTCATCATTTTAGAGGAAAATTATTTGGCCAGCTGTATTTTCACAGTAGTAACCTTGGACAACGATTTTGCATACTAATACACGCCAAATAGTGTGAAAAAATGAGTGCAAAACTTACGAAACTCCACATCAAAGATCTATCGGATCTAAATTCATTGAAAATGTTTTTATTTTTTCCAATTTGAACTGTCTTTATCGATCGTACACAGATCAGAATGGTACTTTATGTTGCCAGCTTATATAGATAGTTGATCTTTATTGAATTTATTTCAATAACAATAGCCAATTGCCAATTTATTTACGGAATCCCTGTGGAAGCAAAGTAGGCATGATTTTATTTATTTATTGCTCATACATAAGTGTTTTTGGCTAATCGCTTGAGACGATTATCAAAATCCACAGACCACAACAACGCTGCTATTACACTGTGAACCGGTTTGCAGCCTTGTGTATGCATATGTATTAGTTTGTGTGTGCGTAGATATGTATGTGTGCTTAAATATGTATGTATGTTATTTGGTGATGTATGCGACCTTTTTCTTTGGACCTAATTCGAGTGAGAGTTTTGTGCGAAATCTTAATGGTAAACTCAAAACAACAAAAAATAAATAAAAAAAAAATTGCGTATGCACAATTTGGTCGCCACCTCACCTTGATGTCAGCTTTTGGGCCAACAATAACAAAGATGACTCAAATGCTTAATTTAATTGCTGAGCCCGTACATTTATTTAGTCAAAAATCAACTTTTGACCCAGAAAGAAAACAGAAACCGAAACCGAGTAAATAAATCGAGAAACATGAATTGAGTGATTTGCGGAGATTGGGGTTGAAGTGGATGTGGGAAGGGGGGAGGACTGACCTTCATTATTACGCACAATATATCGAATTGAACGGATTAAAATAAGTACGACAATTTAGATATGTTCAAACGAAATAAATAATAATAATTACTTTATTTATAATTAGACATATGTAACTGATTTGTGTACATAAACCAAACTTGAAAGCAATAAATGCCAATTAACTGCTAATTACAACAAATACATATAAACAAAGAAAACATGACAAAAAAAAAACAAAAACAAAATAAACTATAGCATGTTTAAATTCCTCCTCGAATTACTAAACAACAAGAGTGATCTAGTAGGGAGAATGTACGACTAGCAGATACCCTGAAATAATGATTCCTATTGCGTGAATTGACATTGTTAAATCAGTTGAACTCATTTTTCTAATCAATAATTTATATAGATTTGTAGCTATAGCTATGTTCATTACATTACCCATTTTTATAATGGCCACAGGACAAATACAAATACGACCGAATGTGAAATGCTTAAGGTTAAGCATCAAATAAGAAATGCTAACAAAATGTTAATAGAGTGCACGAGTGCAAAATATATATGTACTTGTGTATATATTTATGTGTAGGTGTGTGTGTGTATACGAAAATAAAACACACAGATACAAATGAACATAATTCGTTTATATGTGACACCTTGAGCATTATGTATATGTATATATATTGAACGTTGCACACACACACATATAAATGTATATATATATATAAATATACATATATATATATACATACGCTTACAACTCAAATCATCAGCTACACCTGAAAAATAATAATGATGAACTTACTGCTTGTGCATTGGAGTTAGTCTCGTCCATCATTTTGTCAGTCTCCATTTTAATCATTGTGTTGTTGTGTTTGTTGAATTTATGTAGTTGCTTGGGCTGCTGCTGCTCTTTATTTTATTACATACACAGAGACACACACACACAAGCACAGTAGCGCACAGATTTATTGTTTCGCAATAACTTAAATCAAACAATACCGAAATTAACTTAGCACATGTATGTTTCCATTCATTTGTAAATTGGGCATTATATTAAGTTGCAAGAAAATTACAAAAAATTTTAGGTTTGAGGTTGTCCCTACAACAACTCTCTTCTCAGGGTGGTGACTTTAGCGCTTTCTCGTTTTTGCCCACTTAAATATTTCATTGCTTTCTCGTTCGCGCTTATATTTATTCACCACGCCGCGCGTTACTGCCTCCAACAAATTCGTGTTATTCTCTTTGACAAGTCATTCTTTATACTTTTCATTACACTTTTGCGTTGTATGCTCGTCTTCTCTATACTTCTGCACAGCAATAAGATTGCAAGCGCACCGTGCTATTGGCCCGCAAATGCACGTGTGTTTGCCTCGCACTCTCACACTATTACACTTTAATTTATATATTTTAATAATTTTTTTCTCCTACATTACTAAGCGACGGCACGTAAATGTAAGAGTTGTACCAATCGTTTGGAATATGTTCGATCGAACGACTTTACAGAACTGAATGAACGAACAGATTCACTGAGTATCGTTCAAGTAGTTCTTTCGTCAATTATGATTCCCTTTGTTCTTTTGAGCCAAATTCTCGCTCGTTTTGTTAGCTTAAATTCACTCTCGCTCACTTGTTACATTATTAATATAGTTTTCTTTGTTCTAAGTTCATCAATATACAGTTTTATTAAATATTTGCAATTATTTGATGTCTAAAGCACACAAATATGTTAATGATAAAAAGATTCAGTACAACAAACTGAATTAACATTCAGTTCATGAAACATGAACGAGTTCAGCAACTCACAGCTGTCGATAGTCAGTGAATTGGAATACGTTACTCACTTCGCGTACGTATGCAAACGTTGGCTTTCTTGCGTTTACGTTGGTGATTTTGCGCTTATATTTTCGCGTGTGTCGGTCACACTAAGCTTTATGAACCGCCGATCTAGTTCACTGTTGATCACTCGATCTTGATGTTATTTAATTTCTATTGATAAACAATTTTAGGCAGAGGGGCACGTCTCCAGATAACCTTGGGACCCAATTAATATAGCGTTGACGCAAGTAAGTGCCCATAAACATTGCTCTACTTAAATTCCCAACACACTCGCTCACATTCATTCGACCGCAGCGGTTGCAATCTCTAGTTTTACTTTCTGTCCGTAAGCCCCATTTTAACATCCAGTCATTTCGCTGTTAACATGTCTATTTAAAATAACGATTTTTGATTACATTTCTTTTTTAAGTGGTGCGCCTTTCCGCTCGTTGCCTCATGGCCTGCCAACGCAGCCAGGATGCTGCCAACTTTGTATTTGAGGGCAAGAAGATTATTGGAGTTGCACTTAATTATATGTAATTAATAGTGTATTCCTACCATGAATCGTTTACTTAAATTTGTTTACCATAAACAGGTGCGCTGTCAATGCCAGGAAAGTGCCGGTGCCCAAGGAGCCAATTGTTTTTTTGAAACCAACAACTTCTTATATACGCGAGGGCTCCCCGATCGTGGTGAGTAGCGTTCAAAGTGTGGTGGGATTTTTCAATACGACACAAACCAAAACTGATTCTCCGGAATATTAAGTAAACTAAAACTGAAAAATAACAATCAGCTTATTTTAAATATTTCTTAATAATACAAATCATTGAAAGAAGAGCTTATAGGAAAATTGAAATTATAAGAAACAAATTTATTTGCCAAGTCCTTTAATTTTAGGCTACTTCTATTTTTTCTAAAGTTTTAAATTACGTTTTGAGTTTCTACAGTATTTTCCAAATTTAATATAAGCATCAGTCTTGTCAAATTAAATCTTTCCATTTTGATTTATAACTTTTCCTCGTTCTGGTATTTTTTAAATTATGCTCGCAAAATAAAATTATTCGTGTCGTTTGTGCTTTGAAATAATATAGAAAAATCACTTAAGATCAAGACTTTAATTTTGCATTACTGATAACTGATTATATACATAACTTTTCAGTTACCCAAAGTGTTCACCAAGGTTGCCTACGAAGTGGAACTGGGCGTCATCATCGGATCGCGTTGCAAGAACGTCTCGAGAGAGCAAGCAATGCAACATGTTGGCGGCTATTGCTTGGCTCTGGATCTAACCGCCCAATGTAATCTGACTGCGGCACGTGCAACTGGCGGCTCCTGGACACTGGGCAAGGGATTTGATACCTCAACGCCTGTCTCTCGCCTAATACCCCTGGATGCTGTCAATGATCCCCATGCGCTGCCCCTGTGGCTGAAGGTTAATGGGGAAGTACAGCAGAGTGGTTGCACCGCAGATCTGGTATTCAAAGTGCCGGACATTATTGCCTATGTCTCAAAATATATGACTTTGGAGCCCAATGATCTGATACTCACAGGCACACCACATGGATCCGATGCCTTCAAAGCTGGCGATGTCATCGAGTGTGGCCTGGCAGATCTAGCCACCATGAAGTTCAACGTGTGCGATGAATAAATTCAGACTTATCTTACAACTAAGTGCAATTTGTTTAATTTAATTCAATTTAAAATTGAAGTTATTAAACAAACGATTTATTTTTTCTGATCTACTTATAAATCAAATTAATGACATTCATTTTAATTTTATGCCACAGTCCGTTAATTTTTTACGCATCGCCTGGCACTCATTGGTATTTTTCCATTTGGTTACCGGACAATTATTATAAACGTGTTCCATGGTGCAGGACAGTAAAGTGGCCGGAAAGTAATCACAGTTATCCTTTGAATGCAGCCATTCGAATTGCTTAGAGCGAGCTTCCGCTAAAAAAAAAATGAATCATTCGATTAACACATTTTTTTATACTTTCCGAGGGAAGATAACTTTTATGAATTTACACTGTGATATACATTACAGATGATGTAGCATTCATGTGAAAGATGAATTTCAACTATATCCATTTATATGACTTACCAGAATCCACACAGCCTTCAAAGCTCTTCACCATTAGCTGGACCAGAGCCTCGTCATTTTTAAAGCGCTGTTTCAAGCTCCTTTCGACGATGGGCAGATTAAGTGTTCCATTGGCGTGCAAGTAGCCATTTCGCTTGAATATACAGTCTGCAATGCACTTGAAAGCGATCCATTTCAAATATTACAATCCATGAGGATCGGCACAATTTTATACTTACAGCATGTAAGGCAATTTTATCCTTTTTCAAATTACTCTTCTCTCCATTATTGGTAGTTTGCTTAGACTGGCTTATCAAGGACTTGCGACAGGCGTTGCTGCTCTGATCATTTCTTGGAATATTACAACATGAGCGCAACTAAATGAAAATATGTGAACAAATATGATTATTAAATATTAAATATTTATTACGATTTTCTCATTTATGCAAGCTGCTTGAACTTACTAGTTTCGAATATTTTGCCTTATCGCAGCTTGAGTCAACTTCATTTTTCAAAGCTGACAGCACAAACATTATTGAAACTAGAAAATAGTTGAAATACATTTTGAATTTAAGGTGCTTATTGCTAAAAACTTCGGCTTAAATAGCTTTCATGTTTTCAATGAATTCACAAATGTTTAACGTTGCATAGAAATTCACATTTAAACAATAACGACCACTAAGAGGTAAAATGACCTTAACATTTAATTTGTACTTCTCAATCATTTAAACAAAAATAAAATATAACTTGGCTTATAAACACAAGTTAAAATTCTATTCTGTAATTTTTACATTGTATTTTTATGTTTGTTACATTTGTGCTTGCTGTTAATAACATTCCAGCATAATGTTAAGTCAACAGGTTAGCGAATAATGCGAAACGGAACCACAACAAACGACGCAAGCAACAAAAAAATGTGTAACGTGCTGCAAAATTGAAATAAAAATATGGAACCCCAATTATATCAGGGACATTCAGCATTTCGCAATCAGCCCTCCTACAAGGTGTTTAACAAGTCTTTCGATCATGCTGACGATTCACTCTTCGCTTTCCTCAACGAGTTGGATCCAGAGATTTTCAGAGAGGAGCAACAACAACCAACAAAAGTCTTCACATCCTACGGCTGTCGATTCGCCCGACAAGATCCACGCACACAGGAAGTTCTGGGACAGACTGTTTATGATCACACCAACGAACAACTGCCGTATACATTTCCCAATCCCCAGGAACGCTATTCGGTACTGGGACGCGCCCAACAGTCCGCATGTCTGCGTGTGCTGCTCTCCTTCCAGAACAGCACCGATGTAGATGAGGCTGATTTCGTTGTGTGGCGTGCCGTGCAAGGCAAATGGTGCAACGAACAGCAGCTTGTGCAAAAGTACATCTACGATTATGCCAGCACACAAAAGGAGCGTCTCTATGTACCGATGAAGCCCCTAGTGCAAAACTACAACAAATGGTTTCATCTGCGAATGCAACATTTGCTGTCATCGGTGCTCAATGCAGGCTATATAACCCACTCTGGTCTGCCGCAGCTGCAGCAATGCCAAAGCCTCAATGTGAACACGGCCAGCATGGAACAGGTGCAACTCCTTCATCGCACAGGTCAAGTGCGTCACTGGCCAGAAGTGCGACTGCACCAACAGCATCTGAGCACATTACGTTTGCGTTTGGAGCGTTATGCGCTAGCAGGCGTTGCCAATGAAACTGCCTCCGACTTGGTGGCCGCAGAAGTTGAGCGGCAACTGCTGCAAGTGGAGGAGGATGTTTTTGTGTTGCCTTTGGATGCGATGTTGTTGCTTTTAATGCCCGGCGCCTATGTTGATTTGCCCACAGAGATGCTGTTGCGCATACATCACATTGCAAACGGGGAGCTCAAGTGCATTGAGTTTTATGAACCGATGCCGGCACGCAACTGCGGCTGGCACACAAACAATCGCATCCTAGCCGAAGGCTATGCGGCATATGCGCCAGCCCAGTGGTTGAACTTGACAAGCGACGGAGTCGCTGAGTTGCACAATGAACCAGTTAAGCAGCAAGCTCAAAGCCAGCCGCAGCCTGCATATAAACTACAACAGATCGATGACCAAGTGCATCCAATTAAGCAGGCGAGAAGCAATGGTGCGCTTGTTAGCTGGCGTCTGCAGACTGACGAAAAGGATGACGCTTTGTTAATCTACAGCAGCCTCGCCATTGCAGCTGTTCGGGATACTTTGGGCGAACATCCGCTGGGCTGTCACCTCATCAAGCTGGAGAACAAGCCCGATTGTGGCTGTGAGATAATGACCAAGTATGAGCTAATCAGCGCCTGGCTGCAGCTGAAATTACTGCAAGCCAACGTGGGTCATTGTTCGAGGATTTCACTTCGCGACTTTGCACCGTTGCTGGAGCAACAACTAAAACTGGAAGCACTCGAAGAGCAGCTGTACGAATACTATCACACTAGTATGCCACAGCAGCTATGCCAGCTGCACGAATTCCTCAAACTGTTGCGCACCGTGGCGCCCGGGGAATATCTGCTACGCTATACAACCAAATATAAAGACAAGTTTCTACTCTGTCGTCCATCATTGGAGGCGACGGCGCAGAGCTTTCAATTGCATGATCTGCTCATGAGCAAGCCACCCACTGACATCAACTTTCTCACCCAGAGCAACAGTTATCTGCCCATATCGACCAAGTTGTGTAGTCGCCTTCACGAGCAACTTCAGCTGCTGCCCTGTGCCTTTCCAGCCAAGGAACGGGGCGTGCGCGCCACCAAAAACAAACCAAAAATCGAGGCGAAACCAACTCTGGTGCAGCGCACGCTCAAGAAGAAGGAAATGCCCAAGAAGCGAAAGAGGCCGCAGCACAGGCAACGCAAACGGGAGGCTGCCAAAGCACTGAAGCAGAATGAAAAAGAGCTGGACAAGTTTATGTGTCTATAATACATCAATTTACATTAAATCGATTGAAATAAGCACATCATTGTTGACTTTATATTCAGACACTGAAACTGGCAGACTTATAGGCAATATGATATGATAGCATAATTAAAATCTATTTAAAAAACAAACCTTTGAAATTTAAAGAAGCCTTAATGTTATTTTTGTCAAATTTATTCTGATAGCTAATTTCAGAATAGGTATAAAGTATAATTGATGAAAAATGATTACGATTCGACTTTATTTAAAATAATATATTGCCTCAATTATTCCATGTCCTTTGACATATGAACTACGAGCTAATGCTCAATGCGGTCATTGCGGCCTCCGTAATTAACTCCGTTTGTAATTCATCTTCGTGCACTTTTAAAGGGCTGCCGCATGTCCAAAATACGTTATCATCTGCTGCTGGAAGTTTATCGCTGGGAAAGCTGTGTAATGACAAATCATTGAATACATTGTGCTGTTCATAGTCATCCTCTAGGACAGTCTCTGTGCAATGGTCCGTTATGCGGGTAATGTGATCGTCAGCATCGCGACCCTTTATTCTGTTTAGCGTTAGCATCTCAAAGCTATTTGAAATTAGGAATACATTTGCCAGATTCTCCCTGGTCCAGTTACACAAGAGCAGGTTGTGCATCAGCGCATAGGGACAGTGGGGTAAATAATACAGGGTGGGCACTGTGGCCTCATGTCTGCCAGATCTGTCCTCGGTCAGCACTGTTCCACTCAGGCGTTCGAGCAACTCTTTCTCGGTATCACGAAACACGGGATCGTAGTAGAGGGCTTCCTTAATCTTGTGTTGCCGTTGGGCGCAGACTATAAACGCCACTTGATGCAGCGCCTGGTGGGTGCGTGTGAACGGTCCCAGGCCCAGGCAAACAATGCGTTCCAGCGGCCGCTTGAGTATATCCAATTGCTGTTGCAGCGTCTCCATTGACAGCATAAAGTAATCACTTTGGCTCATTATCCCACAGAGTCGCTCCAGGCGACTACAAAATGAACATTAATCAAGTTATCAGCAAGGATGTGCAAATCAAGAATAATTACGTTGTAAAGCTGTCCACATTTACATCGGGGCAGTCGTTTAAATAGTCGCTTTCTGATATGTGGCGGTTTCGTCGACTCAGGCATTTACGCGCCATCCATTTCTTGCGTGTGACCACCTGAAATTCATTGCCAACGCCAGACATTCCAAGAAATCTGTTTTGTAAATAAAGTGTGTTTGCTGTTGCAGTTTCTCGTACATTCGCATTATCGTATTATCGCTTTTTGTTGGTATCGATAACTTCCTATCTCTCTCTGCCGGTTTTGGAGGGTATCGAGTATATATGAGTGCGCTCTAAAAACAGCTGGCTTTGACGTTGCTCTTCTTTGTCATAGTTTCGTATTTTTATGTTTTGAATATGAACGATCCGAACAAAGCAATCAGCGTTAATTTATCATCACTGCTCAGTTTAAAGGCAGAATTACAGCGCAAACAGCATGAGGTCAAACTGGCCAAGGCCACCAAGACGACGGCCAATGAATTTCGACCCAATAAAGTCGATAGCGACAAGGAAAAGTCTCGATCGAATGGCAGTAAGAAAAAGGAGCACAATTACAAGGAAATCAGCCGCAATGAGGACGCTAAGGTATATGAAACAGAGGACTTGGGACAGTTAGAAAAATCACGTCGTGTGCTGGAGGCAAAGAGTAAATTTTATGATCGTATGAGTCGCAGTGGCGGCGCCCTCAACTCCGACGATAATTGTCTGGTGATGTTCAACCGCAAACGCCAGGAGCAGGATATAGAGGATGCAGAGCCACCAACATGTACTCCGAGAGAACGATTGATTAGCAGCAGCAGCAGTAGCAGCGAGGAAAGCAGGGACAGCACAGAAGCTGTCAACGATGATGATGAAGTGGAGTACACGGATTGCTTGGGACGAACACGCAAATGTTTGCGGCGTGAGCTTAGCGAAGCGAAGAAACGCGACAAGCAGCTAGCAGACAGTATGCCCGAGCGTCTGGATCAAACCAAAGCCAATTGGATGATAGATACAAAAGGCAGCGGCCACTACAAGAGCGACAATGACGAGGACGACGAGGAGCCCAGCTATGGACCGAGACCCACAGAGAGTGTATTTAGTGAGGCACTCTCCACGATGACCAAGCATGATGAGCAGCGCGTGAACTGGGAGCGCAAGGAGCTGGAGAATGTGGACAAGCCAGATGTTCACTATCAGGATGTGTTCTTTGATGAGGCGCGCACACACGGCGTCAGCTACTATGCCTTCTCCACGGACGAGGCGGAGCGTACGAAGCAGCAAAGGGAACTGGATTTGGCCCGAAAGGCAACGGAGGCGGAGCAAAAGCGACGCGATGGGATGCGTGCTCAACGCGATAGAATCGTTGCGGATCGTGTGCTTGCAGCTAAGAATCGGATACGGGCGCGCAATGGTCTCCCGCCCATCAGCAAGGAAGACTACGAGCAGGAGCAGCAGCTAAAGATAGCAGAAGCCGCTGCCAAATCAGTTGAAATCGAACGTGAAAAGACGAAAGTAAATGAAGCAAAGGCGGCGCTAAAGGCAGCCGAGGAAGCGGAACGCGATGAGCTGCGCAAGGAGCACATTCGAGATTGGGATAGGGATAAAACGGGCGTGGCCAAGAAGCACGCTGATGAAGAGGACCCAGAGCCAGAGGAATGGCAATATAAGGCCGAACGGCTGCCCATGTCCCAGGAGCAATGGAACGAAAAGCAGCGCGCTGTACGTGCCCCAGAATTTGCACCCATGCCAGAGATGCCACCGAAGCGCACCAATTTCAATAGCATGCCACCGCCATCGCAGCTTTTGTTTCCGCATACTGAACAGGAGTTTAACAGCTTCCATTCGACCAAACGCGAGAAACAATTCCAGAGACGCAACTATACAAAAGCTAGCGATGATCTGGATGCAGATCAATCAGCAGGCAGCAGCTCAATGCAGTTTCATAGTCAAGGCGCTGCCATACCGCCACCTGCCTGTCTGGATGCTGGTTATGGTGGACCGCCAGATGCCAAGCGTGCCAAGTCACAGGCGGAGCTCGAACGCTCCATTGAGGCGGGTCTGAGATTTCTGCGCAACAACTGCGACAAGGGCGTGCTGGGCAACAAGGCTACCTGGACCGCTAAGGCGGACTATTAACTACACAATGATTAGATTAAGTAAAGTACTCGATCGTTAAGAAATTATCAAATTAATAAATAATTAATATACAATTATAATTACATTTGTGTACGGCTAACTAGAACTTACCGAGACAATGAAAATCACTTGTGGAACGTGTCCCAATTATTGAATAACCACTGTAATTTTATTTTGTATCGTTCGTATGTTATTTATTGCTTTTGTGTAAACACAGTACTATAGAAAAACACGCGTTTGCCTCGACAATTTGTCTATTGTCTGTTTGGTGTTAACTATATGTGTATGGTAACTAGATTTATATGTACGCATACAATTCACAATCGATCTTTGTTTTTAAGTTGGCTGCTAGAGAAACATAACGGTAAACATATTACTTGGTAGTGGAATAATAAAGTATGTTATGTCTAATCTAACCTAAATCTTGTGGGCATAATCGCATATTAATGAACGTAAATTACATTTTGTAAATTATGAATTATGCATTTCTTCTAAATTGACCACAAACTCAAAATTCAAATAACTTGTACTAAAGCAACCTAATCAGGAATTTTATGAAGATCATTTTGTTGGCCATCTTCTAGAGCATGTCACTGTCGACCATGTCAATTACAATTTCGGACATCTTCTGTCGACACAGATCGTTGGGCGGAAAGTTTAATGTGGGCGCGCCTACATCCTCATCGGGGTCATCATTGTGATTTAAATACATATCGGGTGCATCCTCCGAAGAACACGTACTAATGGGTATTATGTCCATGGCCAGACCGAGAGCAAATCTTCCATAGGTTTTCAGTTCCTGAGCAAAGCTATACGAAATAAATTCAATTAATTGAATATTCCACAGTTCTAACATGACTTAAAATTCACTTACAGTTCTTGAAATTTTTCCAGTGTATTGCAATGCTCCGGCAGAATGGTGCAGAGCATTTCCAGCCACTTGTACAATTCCTCTGTGTAGATCTTGAGCAGCGTCTGGAGTTGAACGTCGCGCAATTTCTTGGTGGTGCAGCAGTACAGCAGATTGGCAATGTCCAATGCAATGGAACTGTAGCGCACTAGCTGGAAGTCAACCAGTGCCACCTCCAGCACTCGTTGTCGATCCTCTGGATCATAGCGATACAGAAAATTGTTCACCCAACAGTCGCCATGGCAAATGGCCGACAGCGGCGACTCTGCGCTGGCCAACTCCACCATTTGTCCAAAAAATGAGGAGTCCTCGGCAAAGGTGCGCATTGCCTGCATATATTTTGAATCGGCAGGCAGAACATCGGATACCATTTTGATGGCGTTCTTTGTCAGACGCTCATAGTAGTTTTTGTACCAACTGGTATTCGCCGTGCAGAAGATGCCCTCGCTGATGACACTGCACATTTTGGTGAACTCCAGCGGATGCTCAAACTTGTAGGCCAAACTGAGTGCATGCAACTGTGCCACCTGCAACAGCACCGACTCCGTCTCCTCCATGCTAAGTCCCTTGTGGCGATCCGACATCTCAAAGCCGCGAACACGCAAATCCTCTGCAAGAAAGTACATGTTCAGATATATATATATATATATATATATAATGATATGGCCAAAGGAATAATTATAATATGCCAAATAAAGTGCCAAAATTAAAATACTCAAATATCAGATACATGTCAAAGCAATTTTAATAATCTCATATTGATTAAACATCATTTGTTTAAATCTCTATAATTATGAAACTTGATTTTAGACAAATTCCACAATTAACTTTTTATGGTATTATTAATCTAAGGTGAGTGAATTAAAAATATGCTTTAGAAAGAATCAACAAAGTATTGCCATCAAAAGCTAGATATCTAAATATTTTCCATAATAGTTACCCATAATAAGCAGATCATGTCGAGCTGTATAGCATTTGGGAATGGAATTAAATAGTTGCGCCCCCAGGCCCGTTTTGCTCGCCTGAAACTTGACCAACTCCGGCATTATAGTGGTATAAAACTCCACCTCATTGCTGCGAAATACTTTACAAAATAAATATACACATAAGCATAATATAAATATGATAAGAAAACTTACCGAAAGAGCTTATCGCTTTTGTAGGCCTCTCGTTGGACAACGCTCTCTGGCAGCACTTTGCATATAACATTCTGCTCCCATTTGTGTGTGCTGCCATCCAAATGTTGTCGCTTCCCACTCAGGTAGATGCGATACAATGCTGCCGTATAGTTATCACCACGGCCCGAGCCTTGCGCCAGCTAAAGCATACAAAATATACGCACACGAAATACACACATAATACAATATACATATATATACACACATATATATATGTAAATATACCTCGAATGCCTCGATTTGTACTTCCGGCTCCACACACTTGAAAATCTCCTGAAACGTGTCCAAAGTCAAAACATTTTTGCTTTCATTTGCCGCTGCGTTGCCTGTGGTTGCTGCTCCTGTTTTCGGCGTTTCTGTGATGCCCATTTTTTGCCCGATCTTTATCTAATTGAGTGGTATTCAACAGCCGGCACAATGAGCACGAGTATCTAACACGTTTATATTTGTAATTAATCAATAAATGTTAACTTTTGTTTTGTCACACAGAACTTTTGAATATAATAAAAATGAGCCTCTTCAAATTTTGCTAAGGCGTTCATTCATCGATTTTGCGCGAACACATGTTTTGCTCACATCGTTTCGTCCTGTGCTAAAATTACGCATGACAATGCCAAAATACATAAAATACCAACAAAAAAAGTTAAGTCCTTTCAATATAGAAGCCCTGGTCCGGAAGCTTGGCAGTTGCACTTGTGGCGCGCAAATTCAAATTGAAAATGCCCGCAAAAATGTACGTTCCGAATATATAAAATTTAACGGATGATTAAATTAATGTGGGGTTTCAACAAATATGTGGTGATTATTCCATCTTCTTGTGCAAGACAAGGCTTAAATAGCAGCGTTGTCGCCCTAAATTAGCTTCAAATTGTCAACCCTGATGGGATTTTTAATTAAGGCGCGCAAGTTTAAATCTAATTTGACGTATGCAAAATTTATTTTACGATTAGCATGTTACATACATATGTACGATTAAGTGAGCTTGGAAAAAGTTATACATTAATTTGCATGTGCATTTTTATCGTTATTATCCTTTAGGCTTAGGGCGTTTCGAACGCCTTGACTACAAAATATGTATCTTGCTCCTATCTGTTAACTATTTGTGAAAAAAATCGTTCAGTGCTGCTGCTGCTGCTGATGGTGCTGATCGTGTGTAGGAATCAATCCCATATCCTGCTGCAGCTCGGGGGAGAGGGGCAGCGGCCGTTGCGGCCAAGTGCGTCTCTGCAGCATAGATTGACCGCTGACCAACTGCTGATGCAGTGCACTTATGCTGGGATAAATATGCTGCTCCACAAACTCCGCCACCGTATGCTCATCGTAGACCTCCCACAGCAGTTGCTGTGATTCACGCGCCATCACGCGCAACTCCTCGATCAGTTGAGGCGTGCGCGCCGTCAGCTCCAGGACGCGCAGTGGCGAACTGAAATTGTGCCGCACATTATAGTTGGAGAGCCAGGCGCTGTGCTCCTTCGTCTGCTGCAGATAGTTACGCACCTCGGATAGTTTGTCGTACAAGCGGAGCGCATACTTAAACACCAGATGTCCCGGATAGCTGCACACAGCAAACAGTTGACTATAGTGGGCATTGGGATGCAGCTCCAACCAGGGATGACCGGATCGTCGACTATCCGGTTGGAAAACACAGCGCAGCACACGCAACAGTTCGTTGTCCCGCGGATTGGTGCTAAAATAACCCTTGGCGACGGTGGACAACGATGTCATCAAACTGGGCATGCCCACTGGCAGCAGTTCACAGAGCACAGCAAAGTGATCATAACGCTGCCAACCCGTCAACGCCAATCCTCTAAAGCCTTTGGCAAAGCGTCCCCCCTCCTTGGCAATAACAGCCAGCCAGCGTATATTATTCTCGAGATGCTGTTGCAGCGGCGGCACCAACAAACTCTCCCCAAAGGCACCCTTAAATGCGGATGCCGCCCAGGCACTGGGAAAGACCTTCGCATAGGTATCCCACAGCTGGGGCTGTATATAGTGATAGATATCGCTGGCATAGACCCACACCATGGGCTCCACATAGGTGCCGATCTGTGAGTTCTGCAGTTCACTCAAAGTCATCTCGCGCAACTGATCATCCCAGATGACGACGTGCAGCTGCGGCCAACGGCGACGCACAAAGTGCGCCAAGCTAATCACATGCGTGAGAAACAGTTCGCTGCGCATCCGTTGACGGCACAGGGAGCATTCACCCATTCGCTGCACCTCATCACAGCCAATGTGCAGGTGCGTAAACTTAATGGGCAGCTCCGGCGTCGCCTTCGTTGCATTTGCCGGCGACGGTCGCATGTGCAGCTCAATCACCTGGGTGAGCATCTGCTCCAGCAGCGCCATACTCTGCGGCTGACTGGGGCATATCGATTGAGGACTTTCGGCAAGTTCTCGCAACTGCTCAAAGCCGGACAGTTTCAGTGCGTACTCCAGGTGCCCAAATGTCTGCACCAGCGGCATTACGCTCAGTCCATATTCCACCCAAGCTGTCTCTAGAAAATCCTATGGAAGATAACAAAACGAAAAGGCAAACAGTATAAATTAATTGTTGGTTAATAACACACAAAATGAAGTCTAAATGGGCTGTGATTAAAAGAATATAACTTTTTAACTATCAATATTTGTTGATACGCCAAATGAATTAAGCTTAGGTAATATTAATAAATATATCTGCAACTTTAACAACATGCAAAGAAAGCGGTGCAAATTTAAAGCACGATTTCAAATTAGCAACTGTTATCGATAACCAAAAGCAAAACTCGATTAACGATCGCTAAAGGAAATGGAAATTTAAATTTAAAAAGCTGATTTCTGCCTACCTTCAATTCGGCTTCTTTGTAGGCATTGTGAGCAGCAAGTGACTGGAGGACGCCGCTGTAGGGAAACATGTCCTCGTACTCAATGAGCAGACCTGTGGCGCCCAAGGCGCGCAGCACGGGCAGCATTTGCTTGAGGAAACTGAGCTTCGGCGGCGCACCCTTGAGATCGAGATGCACCAGTCGCTCGGCTGGCGCACGTGGTCCATCGGGACCAATGCCCGCAACAACTGGAACACCCATACGTTGCAGTTCGTGCTCGTATTGGGTCTGACGCTCCGCAGAGCTGAGCATGCGATCATCATCGGCATTGGCATTCAGCTCCTCCATGCCGGCGTTGCGTTGACGCTGCTGCTGCTCGAGAATTTTGAGACGCTCCTGTTCGAAAAGGTAGCTATCGGCTAGTGGCAGTGGTGCCTTCTTGGCCTGTGTGGGACGCACAAAGCGCACGTTGCCCAATAGCCGTTGCACTGGCGATGGATGCTCAACGATATCCTTTTGCCGTTCAGCACGCAGGACACGATTCGCCTGAGCAATCAGTTTCTGGATGATGTGAACGTGCTGATAATTGGCCTCACTCGATTGTAGATTGTTCGACTGTTGCTGTTGTTGTGTAAGTGTTGTTGGCAGTGTTTTGGTCGTATCGACAAGTATGGCCCATGTCCAGAGACCTAGTAAAACCAGTCCAGACGCCAGCAGCAGAAATGAAAGTTTTCGGCGCCAAATAAATATCAGCAAATTCGAGTGCATCTGCAAGAGGGAGAGAGAGATATATAGAGAGAGAGAGAGAGAAAGAGAGAGAGTGAAATGGAGTTGCAAAGTAACTGCAATAAAGGACGCGACCCATTCTGCCATTTTTATAAATATTTGAGAAACCTAGAACAAGAAGCCCCCAGAATTGTGCTATAACTTGTGCAGCATAACAGCTGCGTTACTCATACGCCAAGTTGCGGGCAGTTCATTGAGGTTAAGAGTTGTTGATGCTTGTTTTGGTTTTGTGTGCTCCAAGCGTGTGCATATGTGTGTATATTTATATATACCCAAGCACATACATTGTATATGCGATGTGTTTACTTTAGTCGGTGCCCGACTGGCAGCCATTCAATGCTCGCATTCAGCAGCAGCTCGCTTAAGTGCCCAAAACTGCCAGCTCATTTAAATGACTTGTTTTACCCAGCAGCAGTGTTGCCAATTCCAACGAGATTTTCCTCGCTTATTTTTGAAAGTAGAATTAAGGAATGAAATGCTTTATAACGTTGAAATTTGATTACTTTTAAACATTCCCCAAATGTTTGTTTGGCTGCTTAATTTAAAGAGGATGTCGCAACAACAATTCGTTACCAAGTAATTCATTTATGTTACTATAACAAAAGAAAGTTATAAATGATCATAAAATGCCACATATTAAGTGAAAAAGTTTATATAATAAATTAAGTTTTCAAAGTTGAAATGCAGATAATAATAACATATGTCTTCCCAATAACAATATCATTTCAATTTGAATAACTAGCAATTTAAATTTCAGTAAACAATAATTTCGTAACGGGTTAAATATTACATAAATATGTTTTCACCCAACAAATAAAATTGCGCAAAATATTATAAGAAAATACCATAGCTAGAGCATGGGAATTTTCAGCAATTTTCTCCATATATATATATATATATATATATATAAAAGAAAACTTACAAAGAAGCTTTACATATTTGCATTTTTATATCTACGGTTAGCTTTTATTGCTCAACAAAAGCCGACAACACTGTGCACGTAGCCATCTATATGTATAATATATATACACATATGTATTTGGCTATGATATGTGTGTATTTAGTTATATATGAGCCATTATGCTGCTGCAGCTGAATGCGGTTAAGAAAAGATGCCATGACCCGACCCGGCACTCAATAATAGACATTACTTTGACAGCCGACAAATGCAAGTGTTCATGTTGAAATGGAACAGACTTCAGCTGTCTTGAGGAAATTGAATTGACGCCTTTCACGATTCGAGCGGAGTGGAGCCACTAAGCGACCCACAGTAAATTCCAGTTAACGCAAATAGTTGCACAAGTTCGGGCAATTTCGTTCCCAAGTCTTGTTATTGCCACTAGAACAGACACTCGAATATCTTTATCAAAAGGAATGCGGTTTGGTTTCCTTATCTAAAGCTCAAGACTGATAACGAATAGTAAGGTTTTATTTCAAATAGTTAAAGCAGCCAACATTTAATAGTAATTGGCAACAGAGCTATTAGCACTGGTTGGCATAAATTATGCTGAGAGATACAAATATATTCATGCATCTTTTGCAGTGATGCTGTACAATACTTAGTTAGTGCTATGCATTATCAATTTTCTTTAATGGCTTTAAAATGCTTATGATAATTTTACTATGACACTAAAATTGTATATACAATTTATGAACAAAAAGATTTCGTATTACATCAGTTATTCCATGCAAGGCATTTACTTTTAAAAGAATAACAAATTTATTTATGGAAACTATCTAAGACTTATCACGTAACTTTTATAATGGGTTTGAAAGCAGCTAGCTAGTTGACAACGAAGGAAAAACTTTCAACTTGTTTGCAGCACACAATTTATGCAAATGGCATAGAATCAACGATCATTAGAACAATTTAAGCCAAGTATACCTTTGGCAAGTCTCACGTTTTACAATTCGGGAATAACAAGCTGAATTTTTGCTAACGACCAGAAAATTTCAATTGTTGACCCATTTGGCTACAACTTCAATGCCACATACTGCAACCAACTGTTTGTATATATATATATATGTATATATATATGTGTGAGTCACTGGTGTGTGCGCCAAAAAATAAGGAAAATTGGGACTCTGGAAATAGACTCTGTACAAAATCCACACCTCAATCTACTTACATGAAAGCCATAGGCTAATTCTTAAAGTGCTTTGGCTTTGTCCGCTGATGCAAATATACTCGTAGCTAGATAAACAAACACAACACAAACAATGCAAAAAAAATACAAAAAAAAAACTAATGTTGGGCGGGGGTGTCAACCTAATGTGTTCCCATTTTGGGGCGCCACTCTGTCTGCCCAACGCCTCCGCCTCCACCTCCGCCTCTTTGATGTCGCTTCTATGGAATTTGATGCTTTTATGTTATGGTTGTTCTGTTGTTGTTGTTCTGGCTTCTGGGACTAATTGCACACGCAGTGCAGCTTCAATGATTTTGCAGAGCAGTTTATAAAATGAAATTTAATTGCTACGTCAGCCACAGGGCCAATTTGCAGTTGGTGTCTCTGTGGGTTCGCATCCGTATCCTGTCGTTTTCTCGTCCTGCCGACCGCCTGCAATTCTCCACTATCAACTATATGTTGTTGCAATTTATGCAGCACATTTTCTGAGCCAAAATGTTCTAAGCAATGAAGACCTACGACAGGAGTTTGCCTACTGTGAGCTGTCACGCCTCCAGCTGGCAGCACGCCCACGTCGAACAACGCAATTTGGCTGCCTGCCAGCGGCAAGGGCAACCAGTAACAAAAAAAAAAACCAAGCAAAAAAAAAGCAAATCACATTTAATCGAGCGAAACGAATATGAAATACCTAAACTCTAAACAAATTAATTCATTATTCTTGACAGCATTTTTTATTTAAATATAGTTGTTATCTAGTTAATCTTTATAAATAAAAAAAAAGTTTGTAGTGAATATAATTTGGGAGATCGGTTGAAAACTGTGATTCACATTTTATTCTGCCATCGGCTTAAAACTAGGTTTAAAAGGAATGTCAAATTCCCTGTGTAGAAATCATATTAACTTTATAGAAATGTGTGTAGATCCCTTTATTACCTTCAAAATCATATTCAAAGCTACAGATAAGAAGAAGAATTCACTCAGCACATCGAAAAACTCCAGCCAAATATACCCTGATGATTCAGAAAGTGCGGGTAGGCAAAAAAATAAAATAAATTTGAGAAAGCTTCTCAAAAATCCTTAAAGCGGCTTCAGTTTGCAACATTTTCTTGTTGTTGTTGCTGTTGTTGTTGTTTGTTGCTGTCCTATTCGAAATGCACTCAAGCGAGCTATTTATGAGTTTTGATGCACATATTTGTTATTTTTGCTGTGCGGTTATTGCATGCCCCGCATTGCATTCAAAAGTGCCGAAACTTGTTCGGTGGCACCATTAAACTGCCTTAACCAGGGAAAGCGAGCGAGGATAATCGCAAGTGCATAAACATTTAAGTTATGGCGTTTTGGTGCCCAGACGCTTATAACGGCAGACTTATCGTTAGCTCGACCAGCATAATCGGCAATTAGGCAATTTAACGCCTTATTAACGTCCACTAGTTGGTGGAGTTTGGTTTGGTTTCCTTGCAAACTGACGCAACATTGACTCACAGTCTGAATATGCGCATTTAAATTTTCCTGAAAATGTGCACCAAATACTGCTCGAGGCAAAAATGAAAATGCAAAAAGGATATGCGCAAGCGAAATGGCAGGAGCTCAAAAAGTTGCGGGGAGTAGTCCTGTCTGAAGCGAGTAGGGGTCCTGTCTGCAGCGAGTAGGGGTCCTGTCTGAAGCGAGTACTTGGCTAAGCACTCGAGTTGTGGGTAAATCAAATGGAGAGTTTAAGGGGGATTTTATGGTTGAAGTAAATCAATAAGAGAGCTCATACTCAATAGCTAATAAATTTGGAATACGATGCCAGTTAAATTCACATGTGTATGCGAATATAGAAGATTTATGGGCAAAATTATAGCGTGCTACATAATTTCTACTATTTTCTTTAGTTCCTACCAAGGATCTCTACCTGGAGCTATTGAATTACTGAAACGAAATTTATGTTTATTTGTTCTGGCTCTGCTTACTTGATGCAAATTGAAATTCCAACAAATCTAATATTTATCCGGCGCCCTTCAGTCGGTCAAGACAAAGTGTTTTATCTACTTCGGATCTCAACTCAAGTCAATCCAATTTAATTTTAGAAACCTAATTTTCTATTGAATTTGATAAACAAGCGCCTAAATATGGGTTATTTCTATTTAATGAGTGCCACAAATTGCCTGGCATTTAATTTATAAGCTTTAATCCCACTCGACCTCAAAATTTGTACGCAATTATTGATTTATTTACGGAATCTGAATTTCAAAGCACTTGCACAAAGATAAATGTATTTATTATGGTTTGCTTATTTCACAATATCGACACAAAACACAAAACTAGAACGATTTACAAGTGCACCCAAATGTAAATTGCAATTGGAAAACTTTTTGCATAAGTTTCAACATCATACGAAAATTGCTGCAGTCCTAAACAGATCCATATATATATATATATATATATATATACATATATTTAAATTTTTCTTTTATTTTTTTGAATCACGTGCAAAGTTTTGCCATCGAGCGCTGATTTTTTGTTGGCCAAAACTGCCGGGCATAATACCAGCGTACTTAGCTACCTACTTTGTAAGCGCATTAAAACTGACCAAAACTTTGGACAGAAGCAGCGAGCGCAACAGATGCGAGTGACAAGGATGCAATGAGAAGTGGGAATAAATTGGAGAGATGCACAAATCTCAGCGCTCTTAACTATGCAACACTTACTTTGTCAGCACTAGAGCAAAAAACTAAAAGGCAACTGCACAAATGCTATGGTGAAATCCATAGCAAGGACACTTTATACCCGGCACGTAATGGGGCAAAAGGGTATTTCAGTGATTGTGACTGGTTTGTAAAAAAAAACATTTTGATTTCTAATTAAGTTTCTTAT